GGTGGGAGGAGGGTCAGGAGAGGTACCTCGAGTCTCTCGAGGGGAGGAAACGGCATGTGGTGGGGAGCATGCGCAGCTATAGTGGGGAGGAGGGTCTCCCTCCCACGTCCATAGGCCATGCCGTTCGCTTCGCTTGGAGATCCGCCTGTACGTCGCCCCGCTGCTACACGTCGCTCGTTCGCTCCTTGGTACGTTTCGTCGTATCGTTCGGCCGTCGTGCTCTCGCTTGATACTCTTTCGCCTGCACGCGCTTACTCACTCGCTTCCTCGGCGATGGTTCGCGAGTCGGTGCGCTCGCTCGCACCGCGAAGAATTTGTAAAAATCAATATACTCGTAGTAAAAGGAGCTGTAAAAAATTCGTAGCCTCCTCGCGCGCGCTTAGCCCGACCACTTGAGATCCCGAGCGCGTTTCTTTTTCGCCCGGTAGGGGAGTAACGCGTCCGTCAGGTGGGGAAGGAGAGGGAGAGAGAAAGACAAAGAGAAAGGGATAGACAGAGAGAGAGAGAAAGAGAGCTCCGGACACGGGGGTTGCTGGATCACCTAGAAGAGGAGAGGATAAAGCCAAGAGCCATGGGAAAGAGAACGGAGAGGATATCGCGGCGCACCCCGGTGCACTGGTTGCAAGAGACTCACGTCAGGAAGCGGCACAGGGAACAGTGTAGACTATACTTCCGAGATCTGCACACAAGAGTTCCTTATGAGTTTTTCGAGAGGGCTTTAGATGGTGCCACGAGGAATTATTGCCGTCGTGCTACAGACTTAATTTATTTTTTTATCTTTTTATTTTATTTTTTCTTTCGTTCACTCTGTTGTTTATTTAACGAAGTATATTGTATGGTAGAATTTCGTGACGCAAATCACATCGTTTTGGGGAGAGGTGGAAACCAGTGCTCCTGTCCAACTCCCTCTCGTCTTTCTTCCGTGTGAGTATCTGTCGATATTATCGGTAACTCGATGGATTTCGAATTGTTCGATATACAATTATGTTTTTATAATGAAAAGTATAAATATCATCGGTACTGAATCCAACGCGTCTCTTCTTAACCCCTTTCAGTTCCTGTGGATTCGAAGAGACAGCATGAGCTTCTTTGCTTTCTGAATTTTATTACTTTTAATTAATGAAATCGTTTTTTAACCTCGCTATTGGTACTTAGAAGGTTCAAGGACCTACGACGGAGGAGCCAGTGGAAATATATATAACAAAGGAATTGAAATGGACGAGAGTACAGTCTTTCAAAGTAATGGTATGACTTCTCATTCATTCCCGTTGCACTATAATTACCTTCTTGCTTTTCTTACTTTGTATATATAAATATAAATATATATATAAATATATATATATATATATATATATATATATATATATATATATATATATATATTTTCCATTATTATACAGAGAATAGAAACGGGACTGGATGTGATCCGACAAAGTTTACTGTACCAAAAAGGGATCACGAGAGATTCCCTCGAGTCAGAGGGTAAGGCACGTTTATGTTTCATGGAAGTCGGGGAAGGTCAAGGACCCGGTCGGAAGTAATCGGGACAGCTGATCGTCGTCGACACGAAATACGAAGAGACTCGAGGGTAGGAAAGTGGATGAGAATTTTCTTTCTAGCTGCGCAGAGAGAGAAGGAGGAGAAGGAAGAGGAGGAGGAGGAGAAGGCAGGGGAAGGAAAGGGACGAGACAGGGAACGACGGCACTATATCCCTTGGGAAAATCACGAAGATAGATTTCCAAGGACTTGAAAAGACCTCGGGTATCAATACGATGGTTCATTAAAGCGTTGAAGATTTATTAATTAAAAAAGCATATCGATTTCTATCCAAAGTCCGAAACAGTCGTATTCAAAATAACTCGCAATGGGGTACCAAAAGGATTCTTATTAGCTTTAAATATAGCTTAACTAAAGATGGATACAAATTGAAATTAGACTGGACTTTCATGGATTCGTATTGAAGGGTGATTTCGAGTGAAGAGAGAGTTCAATAGGCGCGTTTCTTATGGTATAAATTGATTGCGTATCAGAGAGCACTGGGGCGTAGAAAAATATGTTGGGAGAAAAGAAATTCAAAATACATTAAAGCAGGCTGTCCTCGATCGGTATTCCAAGCGTGACGTTTGGCTGCAGGTGGAATTACGGAGAAATCAGTTAGTGAGTACTCAGGTGGAAAGGCATTGCAAATGTGCTGTACAATCATTGCTGTGTACACGGGGTCAGGATTCGTTAAATGATTAAGCACGTCAAAATGACACACGGCACAAAAGGAGCTTCTCCATTGCCAGCGTAACGTATGGAACGAAGTCTTATAATCAAAGCTGGAAAACCGTTAGGTACTTAAAGAAGAAAAAAATTGATATATACACTTCCTGTCGGTAGCACTCACGCTTGGTGAACGGCTTCCTTTCCAGGGTCAATCGCAGGGAACTTTAGAAAGAAAATGGTGCAAGCAGAAAACAGTTTGGGTACAATCACTAGAGAGCAGAGTGAGGTTATAGACTTCGAAGAAATTAAAATGAGCTGGACCAATTTTATATATCTATCTCAGCCAAGATCTCCTCGCTCAGAGAGCGAGTGAAGGTCAGAGTAAGTGTGCAAGGGCGAGTGGGGCGGTTGGAGGGGGTTACGATGAAAGCGTCCAGAAGAAGGTAAAATTACGTCGAAGCCATTTTTGTGAGATTGAGGGGGAGGACGTAGAAATGAAAATGAAAAGAAAAGAAGACGATTACCTGCTCGCTGAACTCGACATCGTCAAGCGGGGTCCTTTCGGGGAGCAGTTGGTGAGCCTGATAGGAGGAAGCACCGGGAAGCAGTTGGTTCCGCGGCTGATCCACCAATCCCACTCCTTGAGAAAGGACCCGGGATTGGCCAGTGGCAATTGTCGCCTGAAGGCCGATGTGCCGTTTGCCCTTCCAATGGGCGCGCACGTCGTGCAGGCCTCCGTGGGCTACGGAGAAGACCTTGTCGCAAAGGGCACAGTATGCCTTATGGTCATCGTCTCGGACCGGCGTGAGCCATGTCGCGAATTGATTGTGCGACAACCAGGTCCCTATAAATTTGCATCGGCGCCGACGTATCCGGGGCGCGGACACCACGTTCTCCACGGGTACAGTCGTCGACGACATTTACTATGAATACTCCCCTTTCTCTGTCCTGTCCCTGATATCGTCTCAATTGGCTCCTCCTCTGTTTCTCTCACGTTTCCGATCCCCCCTTTATCTATCCCTCTCTGATGCGTCCTTCGACTAATCGCTCCGCCGCGATCCGTTGGTATCGCTGGCTAACCTCAAATTAACCGCTAATTAGCGTAGTGAAACGTCGCTAATATAGCCCACCGTGGTCCCATTTACGAACAGGGTCGACGCGGAAGATCCCGTTCAGAAAGAAACACCCGTAATATCGTCTACTTCGGTCGTGGCTCGCGCACGCGACCCTCGATTATGACGTTCAACAAGGATTTCCACGAAAAAAGCCTACTCCCAGTTTTGCAACTGGCCGCTTTTCCTTATTTTGGAACGCGGACGGCAACGTCTGGCTTACGGGGCACGGAGAGGAAATTCGGGGCAAAATTCCAACTTCCCAACTGTTGCGCAAAACGCGATGCGCAAACGCGTCGGAGGCGTGGCGTACGACAAAAGACCCTGCCGGATGCGTCCGATAAATGCCGCCACTGCCACTGCCACCGATGCTACTGTCTTTATAAACTTTATTCTCATTTTATGTCTTTCATTTTCAGTCTCGTTTACTATAACCCTTCTATCTTATAACATTCCTTGACTCCATTCTCGTTTCATCACCTCGCGCTCGTATCTCTTGCCGGCTAAAAACATGGAAAAAGAACTCAAACGCGAGAAACCCTTCACCCCGACATACTCTACAGGAACACTGACGCCCCGCGAAAGGCACAAGCTTCTTTTTTTACAAAACTGTACCACAAGCGTAACGCGACGGAGACGCTTTTTATCCTTTTTGCTAGGAGACACCAGTCATTGTGCTCTTCGAAATGATCATTTTCAGCTGGCACTACCTTCACGTATCTTTTTTCTTTCTGTCCTTTGTTTTCTCTTTATCGACACTACCTGTCATTTTCAACGAAAACTTATTTTATCGGAATGCAACACGGCTTCTGTCAGAGTCCTACTCGGACACTCGCTACTTTATAACCTAGAAACACGCTACGCAAATCTCGATGCTGCGCACAAAATAAAGCTGCCCACGATTTTCACCACCACGGGCGAGCCTCTTGTTGCTGACACGTTTCCTCCAGTTGTCGGCATCGGAACGAATTCACACGAATGGAATTTTTCTAACCCTACACTCCTATCGGTCTCCCGCCCTTGACGATCTTTACACGAGCTTGTTTTAATGTTTGCTATTAGGAGGTAGTAGAGTAAACTAGTTCGTGTGGCCAAGAAAATCTACAGTCAGAATGTGAATAATAGTAAACGGACGTAATCTCTGACCTTATCGGGACGAACTTCACGGCCTCCGTTGAATTTTCGAAACGCACTACTTTTTCGTAAAACGATTAAAAAAGATATTAGCTGTTAAAAATCATAATTTTCGCTATGGTAAGCAGAGCATGATATCGTGTCTTCATAACCTATATTTCCACCATCGATAACCGGTTCGATGGCAGTGTCAGTTAACAGGCAATTATTTATTGCAACGATCTTTACAAAATATGTACTTCTGTTTTTCGAAAAAAAAACTCCAGGAGATGATAATGAGAGATCACGAGGTAAAGGGAATGCTCTAACCTTAAAATGTTGTTTTCAGGATGTATCCGCGTTCTCCGACGACAGCTTCGATGTCAAAGATTGGATTAATAAAACGTTTAAGTCTGCCGAGGCACAGGAGAATAAAGATGTAAGTTCCAGGGTGTTATTGGATTTCTCTTGTCTACTAAGCTTCTTTCGTCCCACAAGATTTTTGAATTTAAGCCGCACTTTATAAAGTCAACCACTAAACTGACGGCGCTTCCATTGAACGACGGTCAATGACACCATGCGTCTTTGAAAATGATAACATTTTTTTCTTCTCGCCGTATATGAAACCACGCTCTCGAGTAAAATGAGACGCATTTATAAAAACGACAAGATTCTAGTTTTTGCATTCTTCGCAATGGCGTTTCATAAATTCTGTAGATTTTAGCTTTCTCTGTACCAGCTCTTGGAAATCTCATGAGAAATCGACTTGCATTAATAATTTAATGCTCCTGTAAAATTATATTTTTTTTTATGCTATCACTTTAAATTCATACAGACACTTGGAAAATGTGCAACCTGACTGATTCAAACTTATTGCTTTGACAGTATATATGAATGATTTTCTTTTACAGGCGTTTGTTGCATCATTGGTGATGAAATTACAACTATATGTACAGCAAATTAATGGTGCTTTGGAAGAAACTAGTCAATCTGTTTTATCTGGTTTACCAAGAGTCCTGAGGGACACCCAATTGTTGCAGCAAGAAGCATCGAAACTTAGAGAAAAGATGGTAGCAGTCAAGGAGGAGATAGCGAAAGTATTACTTTGTTCAGTAGACAGTTATATTTCTTTAATCTTTATGGTCAATATTAAAAGTAGTAAACTTGTTTCACAGGTAGAGAAGGATACAGGATCCTCAATAGCTACACTGGAAAGAATAGATAGAATCAAAACAGACTTGCAAACGGCAAAGCAGGGGTTGCATGAAGCAGACAATTGGACTGTATTAGCTAATGACGTTGAAGAGGTAGTTTAACAAATGTTTTACCAATTTTATTTATTAATATTTTTGGTGTGATGCAATATCACAGTTTGTATATAGTATAAAGAGTATGAATTAACGATTTATTTTTTTGAAGGTATTTGAATCGGGTGACATTGAAAAGATCGCTGTCAAATTATTTAGCATGCAAAAATCTTTATCAATGCTGGCAAACGTATTGGACTTTGAAGATAAAAAATTACAATTAGAAGGATTAAAAAACCGGCTCGAGGCAATGGCTAGTCCTCATCTGGTTCAGGCATTCACAGCTGCAAATTTAGGTAGTCCTTTACAGAAATACATTTATCATAATATGCATTAAGCAAATGCACTATATAAAAACATTGTAATTACACAATCTGCAGAAAAATCAAAAGTGTATGTGAATATCTTTGACAAAATGGAACGTTTGCCACAATTGTTAAAATATTACCACAACTGTTTGAAAGTATCTCTCGGTCAAGAATGGAGGCGTACCATCGAACTTGCACAAGATGAAACAGTTGCCTATTGGCTTCATACTTTTTATGACAAGTTACTATCTGCCTGGCACACTCAAGTAAGTGATGCCACGATGAATATAAAACCTATATACGAATGCAGCTTCAGTGTCTCAACAATACACAACTTCCAGGTAACGTGGTGCAACCAGGTGTTTCCAAATACTTCTAGTAACACATTGATTGACGTGTATGCAGATCTTCTACGTAGTTTGGATCCAAGCGTATCCGTATGCATTGAAACAGCTCTGAAGCAGCATTCGAATGCAATGCAATTATCACTGCTGCTGGAATTGAAACAGATTACAAAACACTTTGCTGTTAATTTAAATAACGCTATCGAGTCGTGTTCTCAGGAAAAAACGTACAATCACGAATTATTACCGTTAGCCCAAGCCATCTACGCTCCCTACGTTCCATATGTTACCAAATATAGTATGTATGAGTCGGCTCAGCTTGGTCAACAATTGAACTCTTTGGATTGCATCCATGATGATCTCAGCGAAACCATCAATGCTCTGGCGCTGAGTATTTCCAGAGTGATCGATTATGCCAATGAAGCCAATAAACGATGTAAATTGTTCACGGACGGATGCGGCTATCCAGGCTTATTGAAGGCTTTGAATGTACGAATAATTTTTATCATTAATTTTGACATATGTTAAGTACATTGCTTTGTTCTTAATTTCAATCTTTGATATTTCAGGCATATTTCACTCAGTATTTGGATAAGTACAGAGTCGGTGTCAAACAGTTGGAAAGACGGAAGGCTAAGCAAGAGGATTGGAATTTGTTTCAAATGTGTTTGACTTTGATGCAAAGCATAGGTATCACTGCTTTATTTCTGGATTTTTTAAGTGATACATTTTTTATGGAGTTTTAATTAACAAAATTATTTTTTGTGATTATCATAGGAGAACTCTTGGTACAGATTGAACAGTTTGAGAAAACTTTAGTTATCGATACCATAGAGGCCAACAACAAATTGCAAAGTAGTAATGCTAGTGTTTTCACACATTATAAAAAGTTATTACTTAATTCTCAAGGACGAACTGAACTAGCTAACTTAATAACATCTTTACAACAAGGTAACGTTGTTACTGAATGTGATTTGGGATTCAGTGACGTGACATATATGTTTTTCTCATAGAGGACAAAACAATTTTGGATTCCATTGTAAAGGCCATTCACAAGCTGTGTTCTGATTTACATCACACTACCTATGAAGTGATTTTTGCACCAATTTTTGCACAGCTGCTGCTAGTGCAAAAGGCACCAGCATGGTCTTCGGATGTGAATAAAATGACGAATTTCGGAACGGATCAGCCTGACTACAGTTTTGCACCTCAAGAATATATTACTCAAGTTGGACAATACTTGATGACCTTGCCACAACATTTGGAACCTTTTTTACTACGCGACAATCCAAGTCTAACACAAGCTTTGAGAGCTGCCGATCCACAGTATGCTCAAGGATCTAGCGAATCTGGATTCACTGATATTTTACTTGGGATTGTAGCCAAAGGAACGTGCCAAATGTTTCAAGATCAAACTTTAGGCATTTGCGAATTAAATTCATCGTCCTGTAAACAGCTTGCTACTGATATTGGTAAAACTTATAGCCATTCGCTTTCAACTGGATATTCAAGTTTTTGACGAATTATCTGTTTTAGATTATCTGGGAAATGTTCTTGAGGAATTAGGACTTTCTCTGTCTGAACAGTTGCAACAAATGTCGGTGCTACTTAGACTGACTCCTGAAGAATATCAAACTGGTAGTGCTGGATGCAGTGCTCGCGTCGTTGCTGCTGTCAGACAAATGAGAAATATTACGTCTTCTGGATAATATGATGTATATCCTTTCATTCTACTTATGTACCAGTTTTGATCCTGGTAATGTGATAAGGCATTTTTATTGTACCAAATATTGCAAATAAACTAATGCTATAAGCATTTACGAAGCTGGCAAATCAATATTAATGTAATGAAAATTGGTAAAGGAATGTTTGCGTGAAACTAATCAGTACTACAAGAGCGTATTTTTTTAAGGATTATATAAGGATTATTGGAGAGAAAACGGAAGACACGTACACTTCAAATATAACATGTTAATTACATTTTCACTTTTATTCATTTGTTATGTCATTATTACATCGTGTGATCAATATTTCACAAGCTAACAGCTTTTATGAATAACGGTGTTGTGCTCTGTCATCTTTTTTGATCTTCTCAAGTTTAGTGTATTTACAATACAGAATCGGAAGAACACTGATGAACACTGATACGCAATAATGTGAATCGATGATTTATAAATAACTTTATGTATCCATACAAGGGGCACTCTAAAAATGCCACACAAATGTCTTTATTATTTCACTTAGCTTTACCCTGAGCTGCAACTGCAGCGATTGCTGCCTTGACTGTTTCCTCATCGCCCAAGAATTTCATGGATACTACTGGTTTTAAATTTTCATCCAGTTCGTATACAAATGGAATACCAGTTGGAAGATTTAATCCCATAATTTGCTCGTTACTCAATGCTAAAAAAACAATAATTATTACTCATTGAAATGCATATTTATAATTTTGTACTATAAATGACTTACAGTCAAGATGCTTAACTATTCCTCTCAAGCTATTTCCATGAGCAGCAATAATAATCTTCTTTCCCTCCTTAAGCTGTGGAATGATGGTATCGTTCCAATAAGGTAGGGTTCTCTCAATCGTCAACTTGAGGGACTCGAATTTTGGAAACTCTTCAGGTTTTGGCTCCTCAGCATATCTTGGATCTTTGACTATAGCTTCGTAAAACTTGTGATCTGGCTCCATAGGCGGTGGTGGTACATCGAAGGATCTTCTCCAGATCTGTACCTGCTCTTCTCCGTACTTGGCAGCAGTTTCCGCCTTATTCATTCCAGTAAGACCACCATAGTGTCTCTCATTGAGGCGCCACGTCTTTTTCACAGGAAGGTCCTCCTGACCAATTTCCTTAAGAATAGCTTGCAATGTATTTTGAGCACGTTTCAGCATAGACGTGTGACCGATGTCAAAAGTGTATCCTGCAGCTTTAAGAGCCTTTCCTGCAGCAACGGCTTCCTGCTTTCCTATATTAAATTATTTCCGCAATTATTTAATTCAGTTATAAGAAGTAATACTTCTGAAATATGTTATATCACATGTATCAAGACGATAATTGAGTCAGATAACAGTTTGTCAAAATTAAAATGATAAATATGACTCATTCTAAGTATCGGAATCCTGTGACCTTTTACCCTTGAGATCCTCATTGATCTTTAGTTCACGACACATAATGAATCGAGAAATTCATACCTTTCTCAGATAGATCCGCATCAAACCAGCCACAAAACAGATTCAATTGATTCCACTCGCTCTCGCCATGGCGAACCATCACAATCCTGTACTTGGACATATTTTTAATATAGAAACACGACAGATCTTGAGGAGACGACTTACGGCACTTGAATGGAGTAGTTCGTTCGATAGAATGACTGCGATGCTCGAACAATTCAAACGCCGACGCCGACGCCGCATCTTGGGGGTCCCCACTACTTGATACCGCCGCGCTCGATATTTTACCTCAAAGTAAAACTCGTGGAAATCTGAGATATACACGTGCTATTTGACAAAACGCAATCGTAGTCATTTTATTTTGTTTCCTTGTTTGCATTCTGTTATATCCTGAACTGGCAAGTAGGACGTCACAGAATAGTTTTTCCAATTCCGCTGTCTTTCGTGTGAAACAGATTCAAAGACTCGCGCTTCACGTTTCTCTCTATACATATTTTTATTTGCATTCGACTCGATTCACAAAACCTTTATCTCTTCTGTCAACTACGAGTGACTGGCTGTTTGTTTATAAGGGTCTTCAATTTTGACGTTTCCTCTCCGTTAGCCATTGATTTCTTCTGTGTTAGGGATCAAAACGTGATTGTGACATATAGTCAATTATGGAGTTACAGGAGAATTACGACGTTTCCAACTGTTTAAGCAGAAATTATTCCAAAGAGGATTCAACTTCGAATCTTGTCAGCATGATCACATCAAACTGGACAATTTCAAATAATCGACGATTTCAAGACTCAATTTCGGTTGTGCCTTTATCGCAAGCTGCAGAGAGGTAATTTATGCCAGTGAAATATAATGATTTACTTATAACTCTGAATAATCTTTGTTACAAACTTTTTTCAACAGGACTGATTTGGCTGACATGGTTTCTCCTGATAGTTGTATACAGTTACAGTCTTTAAGGAATCAGGATGAACCATGTACGATTGATATTGAGGTAACTGGTGGTCGAAAGATAGCACGAATTGCTGTGGTCTCTGAAGCATCGATTTTAGAATTTTATAAGCAATATGGGGAATATGCAGTTACTGCACTTGCTGAATTTATTGATGAGTTTGAAAACAACTTCAGTTATTTCGCTGAGGTAACAATAGAACCACCTTCTTCTGAAATAAAAATTAAGGTACATTGGCTCCATTGTAATTACATTCTAAATTGGTTGGAATTACTGGTATTTATATTTTTGTTCTATTTACAGTTTGCAAAAGTAAAAAGTAAAACATTGTTTTGGGTATATGGCATAAGATTAATTCTTACAGACCCTGTAACCAATAATGTACAAAAAACATTTGATTATGATGTAATTAATAGCTTTTTACAAAACACCAATGGGCTGACTACAAAAGGTGCAGAGATGGCAAAAAAATTATTACAAACGTTTGATACTCAAGGAAATGATATTACTGGAAATGATTTTAATCCATGTTTATTAAAGTTGTCAGAAACCAGTTTACAATCACAGATACCTAAACATCATAAATCATTAACGACAATAGAAAAGAGTACAATTAAAAGTGAAAGCATGGAAGAAGTAAATTGTGAAAATACCAATATCACAGATATTAGAACATATATTGATAATAAATTGTGTGATATGGAGAAAAGATTGATGCAGAGAATAGAGGTAATGGAACAGCACACAAATAAAAAACTGGACACTGTCTTACAACAGCTGGAAAAATTGACTACTCATAAGTAAAATGACTTAATGATAGCGTTGACAATTGTGTTAAGATTGCAATTGCACAGTTTCTGTATAAAAAGTATTAAATAATTCTTAAGCTGTATATAATCTTTATTTTCTGGTTTTTACAGTCTATGATTGTGACAAGTTCACATAGGATAATTCAGCGTTACAAAACTTACATAGTTGATAACTTTTTTGATGATTTATATAAGATAAATTATATTAATAAGTTCAGTTCAGTATATAAGTATGATCTTTTCATTCTCAGAATGAAATATCACAGATCTGTTGTGCTAAGGTGGCAAACTGCTTTCATTTTCACTGGTACTGCCACTATTTTCTGGAGGATCCCAAAAGTGTAGCTGTTTCCTCCACAGTTTGACCATACCGTCCCATCCTCTTCTACTGTACTTTGCATATTTTGGTGGTGTTTTTGGATGTTCAGCTGTACGTTCCTTTCTAAAATACATATCCACTATCATATACACTAATAACATTACGTTGTTCATTAACAAAAATATACATATAGGCATACTTGGGAACAGCATGAATATATCTGTCATATCCAATAGTATTTTTCCCATAATCTATTTCTTTTTGTCTACGTGCTAGCACTGCAGGATCTGTTTCATATTCAACTTCCTTTTTACCATTGCCAGAGGATAAGGTACTTGAACTCGAACTACTATTACGCCTATTTCGTGAAACCTTTTCATCCAATGATCCGATACTTCCTTCTCTCTGTCTTTTACGTATGTTGGATGCATCTTCTGGTTTATTTCTTGTAGTATTCAGGTACACAATGTCTTTGCGTTCATTTGTTTTTAAAGTAGATACATGCAGCTCTTCCCCGTTCAATGAACCATTTGTGCCATTTTCCATGGCTGGACCTAATTTCTTCTTCTTCTTTTATAATTTGGCACCAGTCGGGACTATAGTCCTTTACAAGCGGCCACAGAATTAGTTTATTGTAATTGGTGGGTTTCTATGGCAGGCCAGCACGAGTATCACGACGCCATGGTTGCTGAGGAGTCAAGGCGCCTCAACTAACCAGGGGGTCCATTGTGTAACTCAAATGTAGTGAAAATACGAAAAGTGAATAGCTGTTAGCCAATCGTTGTGCTTGTCTTCTTTTTGAACCTAACACGCGATTGGCTAACAGCTATTCACTTTTCGTATTTTCGCTCTACATTTCAGTTTCTCATTACCGCCAGACCTGTATATCTATAAGACCGTGATCTTGAGCAATTGTATCAGACTTCTTTGTCAGGAAAAGAACATTTTCGTCGGTTGTCAGCTCCAGACAAGTTTTGTTTTATTTTACTAAATTTTTGTTGAAACACGAGCAACACTTAAACGTTAAAAACACCGCGTCTTATAATCTCCGTGATCCATAAATGTAATATAAAATAATCAATTCGCTTTATACTTTCGATGCAAATTAATAATTACTATCTTAATTATAATTACTACAATTACATAAAATGATCATTACTTTTCTAATGAAATTTTAAAGAGACGTTGAAATCTACTTGTTGGTTAACAAATGAGTACACAAAAATGATTCTTTTAGCGCGCTTTTGGTTAAAGCGTCAAGCCGTTTCTTGCCACTCAGGCGGCATCTTTACTAGTTTTTCAAATCTATTCAAATCGAACATTTCAATTCCCGTTTATGGGTTTCAGCCTTTTATGTTTTTCTCAATATTTTCTTTGTCAATTATCCTCTTTTCGTTTCGCTAATAAATCGAAATTTCCTGTTGCTCTCAGAATCCCGTAGCACGGTCTTACGTAGTACACTGTTCACGAGATACCAATTCATAGTGTTTGATACTGGTTCATATTGGTTCAAATTGTCATACTTCGTGAACACACTGGCGGACACTATCCCTCAACGAAGTTTATTAATAATTTTGACTTTCTGGCACTTGGCCTCCTGCAAGGACACAAATTCGATTAAGATTAAGGAGAAGAGTCCTGACTTGCAAGTACAAGAGTTCCATTCAATTGCTTAGGATTCAATTTAGGTGTTTAATAATATGCCTCCTAAAGCAACAAAGGTTTGGTGTTATATTTGGATAAAATGATTTGTATTTGTATTTATATTGCTGATATTACTATTCAAATATTTATTAGGAATTACGTGTATTCGTGATCAATGTTGGATCCGGCACTCGCAACATTGATGATTTCCAAAAATTATATCTAGATAAAGCAAAATATATACTGAAACGTTGTATAGAAAAAAAAGTAAGTATTTAAATTTAATAACAAAACCAAGAAAGTCAACATAATTTTCCTTACAACATTGCTGATTTCTTTTGCTATTTCCAGATATTTTTGGATCCAAAACATGAAATTGGCCTTGTGGTACTAGGTACCGATGTTACTGAAAACGATTTGGAATTTGATAATATCCATCAAGTCACAGAAAATATACAAGTTCCAACATGGACTTTAGTCAAACATGTAACAAATTTGCAAGCAACAGCTTCTTCATCCAATTGGATAAAGGCAATTTATGTAGCATTAAAGATTCTTGACAGAGGATTTGTGTAAGGATATTATGATGTGTAATTCATAGTGTTTATCATATTCTATTTCATACTATTTCTAGGGAAAAGTCATGTGTTCAAACATTAATGCTGTTAAATGATTTTAACGAAGAGCCAACTGTCATTGAAGAATTCGATGTAAATGAAGTTGCAAACGAGATACGTGAGCGTGATGTTAGATTTATTCCTATGTAATATATTGGAATTTCTACATGTAATTTTTATACATATTTCTTCAGATAGCAACCACAAATTCATTATTGATTAATGTTTACAGTGGAGAACGTGACATTTCACAAAACTCTTTGTCTGCAATGAATTCAAGCGAGAAATTTGTCATGAAACTCTGTGAAAAGGTTTTTCTTTTCTTTTTTTTTTTTAAATGTATTGCATATCGTGAATAACTTTCATAATTTAGTATGCCACTTACCACTTCTTTTGTAGACTGACAATCAATATTTTACACTGGATGATGCAGTTCAACAAACATCTTTCTACAGACAGCGACCCACAAAACCAATAGGATGGGGAACTACTTTAGATTTTGCGGGTTTCAAAATTCCAATTGCAAAGTACCTGAAGGTAAATAAATAAACTGAACGGATATTACTAAATTAATATCTTAGATCAGGACAGACTAATATTATTTTTGCTCATAGGTAACAAATTCTTGGAAATTGCCTACATGGAAAAAATTGGTAAAATCTGATTATAATAAGGAAGTTAAAGTAAATAGAGTACATCAATATACAGATCGATACAGAGAATCTCATACTTTCGAGAATATTATATCTGGATACATGTATGGTGGTGTCTTTGTTCCTTATACAGGTATGTGTTTATTATTTATTTAGAGTAGCAAACTCTTCAGATGATGCAGATACGTACAATTCTTAAAGATACCACCAAGACTGAGGCGGAATATAAAAGTGGTGAAAAGAGCTTCATAATCCGTAACTTTGCAAAGAGAAATGAGGTTTACCTGGATCTGTGGACTGGTAATGGTTCATATGTTGTTGTACCTTCAGGCCAGGTAAAGGGATTTTGATACCCTGTAATAATGTATTCATATTCTAACTAACAATTTGACCCAAACTAGGAGGCGATCAGGCCATTCTATTCATTAGTGCAGGCCATGGTGGATGAAGATATGGTAGCCATCGTCAGGAAAGTCCACTATTCAAACCTTGCACCAAGAATGGGTATTCTGTTTCCATATATCAATGTCCTCGATCAACCCGGGGTATGGTGTATACTCATTACATTATTGTCTATAGACTCATTTTATTCTCTTCTTACTACCTTGATGAACATTATTTTATTAGATACTTTTTTACTGATCTAGTGCCTCGTGTTCGTCGAAATGATATTCACAGAAGACAGATGTTTGTTGCATCGAATGCCAATGAATTCTCTTGTAAAACAATTGTCGAAGGAACAAGATGAAGCCATCGATGGATTCATAGATTCGATGACATTACCAGAATCTAGGTGAACAAATCACCTGCATAAATTCATTTTTTGCTGAATTAACTTTTTATCAAAAGTTCATTGCTCTTTTCAATACTCCAGGTGCGCCAGTGATTCTGATGAAATTGAGAAAACATTTGATGCCGGAACTGTACATAATCCTGGGATTCAGCACGTGTGGAATGTACTTTCCCGTCGTGCATTAAATCCAGATAGTGAAATACCTCCAATGGAGTCATACCTCTCTAAATTAGTTATGACACCAGCACCATTGAAAGAAAAAAGTTTGCCTTATTTGAAAAAAATAGAGAAGTTATTCCAGTGGAAAGATACATACGAGACTAAAAAGTACCTTTTTTTTCTATTTCTGTAAGACAGTGAGTTTTTTATTAATGTTTCTAATTTCTACCTTCTCTAAATCCAACAGTAAATTAAATGACAAAAAAGAGACAGATGTAAAAGAGACTAAAGAGAAGTTGCAAGATGATTCAAAAGCAGGAAGCAAAAATATAGCAGAAGACGCTCCTGAGGTACAAGAAACAATGGATGCAGAGCTTTCGCAGCAATTTATTGATGATGTAGATTTGGATAATTTGGTATGACGTGTGATTTCAAATTTAACAGGATCTTCATATTGTTTATTACACAAATAATATTAATTTTTTTTTCTAGGCTATGAACATGTGATTCCTCAGGTTTGCTCTTCAAATTTAATGATATATGTAGAGCTGTAATCAGCAGCCCGTATTTTTATGAAAAATGTATTCAGTTCATTTTACATTGTCATAGATAGCACTTCTATTTTTATTTCTATACGTCTTTCAATGTTTATTATGTAAACATTAATGTGATAATGTGATGTATGTTATTATTTTTTTATTCAATAAATATGTAATTTGTATTTTTTAACATTGTGATGACTTTAATCCAAAGTAATCTTCGTATCCGGAACCAGTATGCAAACAGATAGGCAATCTGCCAATATGTAGTATTGAAGCTGTAGTGTGATGTAGTGGTTGCTAATAAATTCGCTGCTAAACATGTCACCGTTAAATTAATTTCGTGTACCGTACGCTTAGGATCTTGTACTCGTGATATCAAGCATAGCAAGCATATCAAGCATTTGTTATTAGTCCTGAATTTTGATAACGAATAACAACGTTTGTAGTTTCCAAATAGTTTAATAAATCTAGGAAAATGGAACGTAACTTGGAAAAAACCATGGATGATGTGTAAGATGAAATATTAGGTTATGTTTCATGTTGTTTTTATTATTTTGAAGATTTATTTTTTAGGATCAACACTGAGGGGGTTATCGGCTGCATTTTGGCGGATCACCAGGGTTTGTGTTTAGGAGGTAAATTATGTCTAAACGTGGGTTCAATGATATAAAGTAATACTTCAAATTCAAAATCAAATTATTGTTCCAGCCAAAGGTAAAGCATCAGGAGATAGTGCTGGATTAATAGCTGCTATAGCTGATCAAGCTGCAAAACTGGAACCTGGATCAAAATCACCTATTATTTATCTACAGAATGATACAAGGTAATTCATGGTGTTCTGGTAATGGAGATGATTGGAGGTACTGGGTAAATACAAAGAATAATTTTTAGACAATGTCTCATCCATCGTCAAGGGCCTGTTGTTGCTGCAATTTACAAACAGGTTTCATCTTAGAATCCCATGTAATTCAAGATGCATTGTAAAGAGCAATTGCTGTAATTGAAATTTTTTACACTTGGTTCTGAGAACCTGCCTAGCATTCAACTAATAATCTTAAGTTGTTAGTTATGCAATAAGGGTAACAGTCCCAGTATGCATAACATTTTCTGTATATTATAGTCATTCATATTTCTAAAAATTGATAATGGAAGATGAAGAACTAGAGGTTACGTAAAATAAAGATAATTATTAACGTGTTTACAAGTGTATATATAACTCAATAATGATTTCAATGACACATTGTATTCTGAATAAATTCCAAACATTAAGAATATTTAAGGTCAGTCGCTTTTCTTGTGTCTGTCTCTTCTTTCATGCCACTTGCTTGCACCAAGCTTGATCAACTCTTGGTTTTCATACATCCAGGAACCCAATACCACTAAGAATGATATTAATCCAATAAGGAAGTGCATGAACTTTTCATCAGGAAAGAAGTATACCTGGAAAAAGAGGGAAATGATATCTACAAGTATTTTATACCCCAAAAATAGAAAAAAAAAATACAAAATAGTTCCATACGTGCGAAACTTTGGTAATAAGTGCTGCTATAATCAAAGATGCAGTAAAGACTGGTTTTGGCACAAGTCCTCGAAGAGGACGATATACAGTGTCGCGATGTCGCCTATTAATGAACGTCATTGAATGTAAAATCCGCAGGCCCATATTAACACAGTTGCCCAGGATAAAACCAACTGGACCTAGCCAAGTTGCAAATACGTAAGATGCACAGAGGAAAGCAATCGATTCGTAGATCATTATGAGGTTGCTCTTATTAATCGTAGCACTATCGGCTGTAGCATTGGTATAACATTCTGTGACGCCATTTATACCAAGCAATAAAACAGCTAGACAATGCGTTCTAAGCAGAAGCACTGGTAAGTATGATGTTAATTTTGAACCACCATACATCCACAGTAGCAGCGACGAGTAAGATTGTCCGAAGACAAGTACAACCAATCCTATTGAAGTTACAACTGAGCATAATTGTGTCAAAACATTGACGCTCTCTTGTATTTTACTCTAAAAATTATAAAATAAATAATTACAAAGAAACACTGAGTTATACGAGTTTCAAAAAATCCTTGGCATACATACTGAATTCTGATCGGAAAGTGGTTTATCTCGTCTAACCATCTGAGTGAAATAAAAATACCCACTTTCTTCTATGGGACGGAAGATAAATCTAGCTGCTAATGAGCCTAGATTGTTAACAACTTCATATGTTCCCTGTAATTGAAGATATTAATTTAAATTGTTTAAAAGAAATACAATTTGGACATGAATATCTAAAATTGTATCCATTACCTGTTCAGCAAATGTTAATACCGGAATGACAGTCATGATTAATCTTTCACCCTCTGTTAAAATTTGTTTTAATATACCTTGTCTAAAGAAACTCCATGTTAACACGGATAGTTTCTTATCCAAGTAAGAATCCTGCAAAACACCGTACGTGAATGCTACAGCGAATTTAAACGAAATGTTGACTTACGTACGTTATTTCTTAGCTGACCAGGTAAAAAGTCCGATACAGACTCGAATGGAAATTCTTTAGAGACGATTTCGTCGCTACTGTCTCTCAGGGACATCTTTCTTCTTGGCTTAAATTTTAATCGTTGGATGTAGTAGTGGAAATAAATGTAATGACTAGTCGTGTAAAATATAGCAGCAACTAACTGAGCCACACCAAATGCAAACAGAGCATTTTCTGGTCGATAAAGAATCAAAGGTACAAAAGTCATGGTACGGATGGCTATCATGATACTATCCAAAACAATCTGAAATAGTGTAATCAAAATTTAAAGCTCTTAGGCATTATCTACTATTATACATTTTATAAACATTAAATTCTTACTTTTAATCTAACAAAGAGAAATGCACTGGCAATCAGTTGAATCACCAGTGAGCACAGTTCAATTATGCATGAGACAGCTACTGCACAAACAGCAAATGTGTAGTATGGGGGCAGAGTTTCAGCAGTTGTTAGCAAAAAAAGCCATATGTAGCCAAATATTACAGACATAGTGACACATATGGGAACACTGAAAATTATTTCAGTTATATTATAAGATCCATGTCTTGGAGTACTATCCTTTAGATATCCTTTTCTTAAGTTTCAATACTAACGTCACCCATAGTAAATTGACAACTTGTGCCCAATTGTGATCTGCAGTGTTGGTCAAGCATGCTTTCATAAATGGTTCACGTGAGAGAAACAATATCATAGACTCCAAAAGAAGGAGTCTTACATTCATTACACCTAAGACAGCCTGACCAACGTGACGTACCACGAAGGCATTTAAAACGAATGTTACACATCGACATAGTACCTGGAAATATAACAGAGAATGAGGAGTATGTTTTTGCTCTACAAAATGAGCCAGCAAAACTTCATCAAAGTCAAGTACACAGCATTACCTGAAAGATTATATTGAAGCTAGCATTTTCCAAGCTGCTTTTTAAAATGTCTTGTGCCATTTATAAACGTGTTTCTATTTACTCTATGAAATGATGCTCTAGAAACATTCAAAGTGATTAAACGTTATATAAGGACAATTCGCCAGCTAAGACGATAATGCGTTCATTCTTTGCTCAATCTCGTGCAGCTTGTCAACCAAGTGAAATGCATTGAGATACCCGGATCTCGTGTCACTAATTCGTTCATAGTGCATCTTCGGGAAGATTCACGATACAATTGCCACGTAATCAAGTCATTCTTCATTGGGAGTTCTGCCAAACACTGAAACACCAAGTTTTTTTCCGTAACGCGTGAACTCGAGGTGGCTTTGCCAAATTATGACAGGCGACGTGATATACCTTAGGACAGTCGAAACCTGCGGATATGTTCCGTCGAAATTACAAAGGGACCTGTGTGATTACACACATAGTATAATAATAATGAAAACTAACGTGGTCCTCGACATAAGTGAGCACGCGCATTAATCTTTAAAATTCTTCACGTTTTCAATGGTTATCAATGGAATTCAGGACGTAAAACACGTTGCGATGGTCTGCACGAGTCTTCTGCACTTTCATCTAGATTTTCATTAACTTTCGCGATGACGATTCATCCGGTTATTGCACTACGTCGAGAAGCTACTATTGCATTTCAATTATGATAAAAGTTTCATCAGTATATTCGATGTACGTATAGTGTTTAAATGGGTATGTTTCACGAGCAAACAACAGGGCCGATGGCCGAACAGGCAAGAAACATCTTACTTTCATCTTTAATCGTACGTATAATGGATTCCATAGTTATAAACGATTTACTCTGTATTAGCTTCGAGCTTATTACTTTTCTATTATTCTTTTAGTCAGGTGGAGTGGCTGGTATGGTATGTGACTTATTACTCTTTCCCCTGGATACTCTAAAGACTCGTCTACAGAGCCAACATGGATTCACCGAGTCTGGTGGTTTTAAAAAACTCTATCGAGGTGTAGCACCGGTTATGATAGGATCTGCACCTTCAGGTAACCTATTTTACCGTTACAATATTCGGTGTATTCTGCATAGATTGATATTGCTTCCTAGCGGCTTTTTTTTTCATCGCCTATGATGGAACTAAAGAAATTCTGCAGCCACTTACGCCACCACAGTATCATGCGATTGTACATGCAGGAGCAGCGTCCGTTGGTGAATTGGTAAGATAAAATTGTTGTTATGGTAGGAAGTCTATAGTGCAAAATAATTAGTGGAATTCACTTTAGGTTGCATGCTCAATTCGGGTACCTATGGAGGTAATTAAACAAAGGAAACAGGCGTTGCTAACGGATACTGCTAGAATGGGTTTGCGAATGCTTTACAGAGGATATGGGAGTACTGTATTGCGCGATTTGCCCTTTACACTTGTTCAAATGCCTCTCTGGGAATATCTAAAACTTTACTGGAAACGGCACGTATCTCATGAGTGCACACCTTTGGCGGGAGCTATCTGCGGTGCTGCATCGGGTAATTATATATGGTTTGCCATTTAAAAACATGATACTAATTCAGATTCATATCTAACAGTTACAATATCTGCGGCTGTCACTACGCCCCTTGATGTGGCCAAAACAAGAATTATGTTGTCATGCTCTTCACTTATGAAAGATGAGATTAAAATATCCACAATGTTGAAGGAGGTCTATCGAGAAGCTGGTTTTAAAGGGTAATAATGCACTTGTTAGAAAATTTAAGTTCCAGGAATCCTTGAGTAACAAGAAATCTTTTTCAGATTGTTTGCTGGGTTTTCACTGAGAGTCTCTGGCTTCACTTTGGGTGGCTTTTTATTTTTTGGTATTTATGAATGGGTGAAGGAATTGTGTTCTATAACTTTTCCATACATATCTTCATCTAGATAGCATTTGAATGAAAAGATACTTTTTTGTCAAAGTACAATGTGTTTACGCGAGTTGGATAACTATCCTAATTGAAAATTCTAGTCACAAGATGAGTAAAATTTGAAGCACATATTATAATCAAAAAATATATACATAACTTGCGCTCAAAAATACAATTAAAACATCAATACAAGAATTTGTAAAATATTGCTTACCATAAGTGAAGGAGTAAAATTACAATTGATCTCTGGAATCCTCTTCTCGAAATCGCTCTACTATTGTGTTAAGTTACATTCGTCTAGCTCGACCAATCTACTGTCAGAGATGGCTACATTAGGAAATTTAATGTGCATATTGTCAAAGCTTATTTCTCTGTATGTATTTCAGAGACACAATTATACTTGTTAATTTAATAATTTAGTCCGCTATGACAGTAAAATTATTCAGACTAATGTGACATACCACGAATGAGAAACGATGTTGAAAATACGGGATCTGGAGTTGCGAATACCATTACCAAGCGTAATGTAATCCTGACAGCCAGCTAATTATACCATTGAATAATACAGGCGTTGTTGAAGCCACGATCATTTAAAACTCCACAATTATCGAATTAAGCTACTTTAGTTGATATGAGTCCATTTTTTATTAGTGATTCTCAATTGATTTTTCACAATGTCCTTATTCGAGCACAGCAACTGTCAATCACTTTTCTTAACTGAGTATCACGTGAGGGAGGAACTCTGCTATAAAAGTCAAGTTTCATCACAAGTGTTTTTTCATTTTGTTATAATAGGGAGCAACAACGAAATCTTCTGGGTTCTGTTGATAATTCGAAAGATTCTTCTTCTAATTTCTTTATGTTGTTTGGGTTCGATACAAAATCCTGTGCGATTTCTTGAAATAGTTCCGCTATAAAAAGAAGAATTACATGTATGTAGAGTATCAAGTACACAAAAAATAAATATAATTCTTACCAATATTCTCGCCTGTTTTGCTAGATGTTACAAAAAACTTGGATTGTATGCCATCAGCAAATCTCTGAATTACTTCAATATCTGGACAAGCTTGTTTATCTTCTGACAATACATCTTTTTTTGTTGCACAAAGGTAAACCTTACAATCTTGTTCAATACTTCTCAATTCCCTCATCCAAAATTTAGCTTTGTTCCATGAATGAAGATTGGTAACATCATAGCAAACTATTGCAGCCTTAGCACCACGATAATACATTTTCACCATTGCTTCATATCTACATACAAGTGTATTAGCAAAGTAATCATATGAATCATACACATAAAGTTTACAGTCAATAGGAATAATTTACCTTTCACTACCAGCAGTATCCCATATACCGAGTACAAACTTTCTACCACCAACCTCCATTTGCTTAGCTGCGAAAGCAGCTCCGATGGTCTACAATTAAAAATGTTGCGTTTTTTTATTTAAGCACCAAGAATTCTTAATGTAAATTGCATTTTCATTGTTCCATCATTTTTGTATTAGAACACCTTAATTTAATAAAGTTTCATTGTACTGAATTACATAAATAATTGCCAATCATTCTATCCACTTTACATTTTTCTTTTATGTAATATTATTTCAGTTAAAAGTATGACTGTCGAGTTTATACTCGCTTACATTCTGATAAGACAAATGTTCGTTGAATCTGTCATTTACAAACCGCTCCAGCAAGCTTGTCTTTCCCACAGCTTCATGTCCTAGCATGACAACTTTTAAGTCTACCTTGTTCATCTTCTCTGAACTCTCCAGGACTCGCCGGATTTCTCTTGACAAGGAGTAGTCAGTCAATATAAGTGATTTTCAACAACTGGAAGATACAAGTAGATAGGACGAGCCTTGTCAAATATGAACAACTCCTAGTATATGCATTCCATATGAATCATCCTGGTGGGATGTATCGTTTTGTCTTCTGCTAGTAAACTATCCCAGATGGAATGCCAGCCATGAGAGATAAATAAACGTTTTCTTGTCACCCTTTATTCATATCAAATTATCTCAGTCATGTTGGTAATGTAACGTAATACACATATTACGTGTTCAAATTCCATCATCATCAAATATTCGATCCACTTTAATAACGAATTTTTAATCTTCTTAACAATTTTGTATTTTACGAATAGAATGAGGCAAAATCTGTATAAAGTTCCAAAAACAGATTTTTCAAGTAAAACACTGCAGTCTGCCGTGATACTGATCATGCAGTTGCATCCTCGAGACACATTTGTTTTACTGTATCTTGAACAGTAACAGAATTGCATTCTTGCATACAACAATAGATGTGTTATATCATGAATCTTAGACCTAAATTATTTGCTTTCTCTCTAATAAAGAGATTCTCCACTCAAGTTCAGGTAAGTTAGTGAATCTAACCTCCCTGTCACCACTGTTTTCATGAATATGAATATTTGCTGAGTACTTTATGATTATTACTTCATTTTAAATATGATTTTCATTTTCAGACAAAGGCTGCTTCATTGATTATCTCAAAACATTGTATGCCAGAGCCTGAGTATAATATTGAATATTTGTGTAATGAGAAAAACAGAGATGCAATTCTTAACAATATCATGAAAAGAAAGGGTGTTGGTGATATAGATAAAGTTCTTGAACTTTCTAAGAAGTTAGATTCAAAGAACGAGCTCCTTTTAGAATTGAGCAAAATTCCAAACTGCACAGATCCCCAGGTGTTGGAATATGGTGACGAACCTCAGATACTGAAAATCTCTGGATCGGAAAGAAAGTTTGACTTCAAACCACAGGAATTCTCAGTACTTGCAGGAAAGCTCAAATTGTTAAGAACTGAAAATTTAGGACCTTTTGCAGGACACAAAAGTTACATATTATTAGGAGATTTAGCAGAACTGGAACAAGCCTTAATTCATTACAGCATAAGAAAATTAATGGTGTCTGGTTTCAAACTTGTATCCGTACCTGATATTCTGCCTACAGCAGTTATAGAACGATGTGGCCTGATCGTTAATAATGAAAGAACCTTAGTCTATACCCTAGATCCATGTTATGGAGATAAATTGGGTCTTTCTGGTACGGCTGAAATGTCTTTAGCAAATAAGCTAACTAATACTGTTCTGTCACAAGAAAAGTTACCCCTAAAATTAGCAGCAGTGAGTAGATGCTTCAGAGCAGAGACATCAAAAGCAGCCGAGGAGAGAGGAATATATAGGTAATCTTAAAAACTATAGTTGTCATTTACCGCATTTCTAAAATATGTAAACTTATTAATTCTAGAGTTCATCAATTTACAAAGGTTGAAATGTTCGCCTGTTCCGAACAAGAGAAATCCTCAGATTTCTTATCCGAGATACAGTCCATTCAGGAGGATATGTTTACTGATTTGAACTTGCACTTTAAAGTGTTGGATATGCCACCATATGAACTAGGAGCTCCAGCGTACAGGTATAGCATATTTTCTACACTGGTTTATTTTATAATACATAATATTTATGGTTGTAGGAAACTAGATATCGAGGGCTGGATGCCAGGACGAGGAATATTTGGTGAACTGTCCAGTTGCAGCAATTGTACTGATTATCAATCGAGGCGTTTAAATATTAAATACAAAACAAAAAATGGTGAAACAATGCACGTGCATACGCTTAACGGAACCGCGTGTGCGATACCACGAATGTTAATAGCAATTTGTGAAACGCATCAGACCAAAGATGGTAATATTAAAGTGCCCTCGAAACTCGTCCCATACATGAAGGGTAAAACGATTATAGAGAAACAACCGATTGCTGACACGCGAACTTACAAATATAAACCAAAAATAAATTGAATAAGAAAAATATGACTTGAGATTTTATTGACGACAAAAGCATATTGTTAATAAAGGTTAATTGTGCGACAGAGTGAATAGATTTATGAAGATTGAGAAGTAGATCTGTTCACTCGTCGAGGAATAAATGCGGAATGATTCTGATGAAAACTGCAAGAGTTAAACATCACCTGACAGTATATTTTCTACAAACTAATACAATTATCGTACAAAGTAAGACAGGGTTCCGAAAGTTGTACGTACACAGGGATAAAGTTCGTTTTTATAATAATTTTTTTTTTGTTATTCTGTATATATTTTGTAGCGGAGTTATAAAAATGTAACACAAAATATTTTTTCTTAAAGTAATACAATTTAGAGACATTACAATTCATCTCCCGTGCTAATTGGTTGTTAGTCATTTCGATCCTTTTTTATTAACAATTTGACCATAAATTTTTCCTGTACCTGTCCTGACACATTGTGTCCCGTACTGATTCTAAGTTTTCCGTTTGTATTTTTTGCTTTTTATTTCGTTTCGAAAAACCCCTACACCGATTTTTACAGATTAGATCGCTTTCTGCTTGAGAGCTTCAAAATTTTCGACAGAATACTGACGTAGTGTGTTCTGGCAATGTTGTTTGAATGTATCTAGAATCAAACAGTTTGCATTCGTATTTTCCTTTAATATCCCGAAATCTTTTACTACCTGAACAAACGTCAGTTTCAATCTTCATCCGTTTACCTTGATAATTTTAATCCTCTTCCTCTCCGGATTCCGATTCCTCCTCGGCGTTCTGCAGCCACTCAATGAATTTTTTCATTTGGTCCAAAAAGAGCATTTTCCCCTTTACAGAGTGCCCCTCCTTGTACCACTTCAAGATCACTTCCTCCGACACAACATCCGCTGCAACAAAAAGTAATCAATTAATATCTTCAATTCCGCTGGTTAAATGTTTTAAAGTAAATACGTACTTTTATAGAAGAGCAAGACAATCTTCTGGAAGACTTTCATAAAGTTCATGTTCTCGTAGCAGAATTCCTGGACCTTTAGGATGAGGGCGAGTTCAGATCTGGCAGTTGATGTAAAAGCACCAAATAGCGGAGTGTAGATCTTTAAGTGTTTCAAAGCTTGCTCGGCAACAAGTTCTTCCTTCTTGTTCCATTCAGCTTGGCCCATAACTACTCCCCAAATCTGCAAAATGAAATGTATATAAATAAGAGTCGAAGGGATTTCCTCGGGAGTTCCCATTTTAACCATTAAAATACTAACAAGGCCGATGACTTCATGTTCAGGAATGCCATTCCGCTGGGCCATTTCCTTAAGGTCGAGCACGATATCTTTGATAGGTCGATTATCTGCTAGATCATCCAGAAGAAGTTGTTGCAGATCGCGCTTAGCCTCTTGGCTGGCTTGGGCTTTGTGCAATTTGACAATGTCAGCCAAACCGATTGCTTCAAAAATCGAGCGGAAATACTCCTCTGTCCTCTTGTTAGGTGGGACGAATTCCATTAACCTATTACGTGGGTATTGTTACCGGTTAATATTTTTGTTTGTAAATGATAAAACTAAAGGATGCTCGATGTGACAAGTAGTTTTACTCAAATCGCATATTACCTTCCTTCAATACCACCACGTTTCAAAGCTGTCATAAGACTGGGTAATCCCTTCTCCTGCTTCCAAGTAACAAAGACTTCCATTAAGAAATCCAGGGCCAGATTATCTTTAACAAGGTGTTCGTTAATTAAAACGGATAGGACAGTTGGCGGGACCGAGCCGTTTGAGATCCATAGAGCTGTCATTCGTGCTAACTTGATCCTTTCCTTTGGCGTAAATCCTTTCATGAAAACTAGCACTTTCTTCATCTCTTCTTCAAACATCTTCTCCAAGTATTTGTATCGACGCATCAACTTGATGAAGACCTGTTTTACACAATGTCAAGCATCAGTTTAATTCTAGACTGCTTGAGACACAGCTAGGGCAGGACAAGAGAGTATTTACCTGCTCAAAATTTTTCATTGAGTCCATATCCTCAGGTTGTTCAAATACGCAAGCGGTAGTTTTGACTGGTTTATCTCCATCTTGGGCAATGGAGCCACCTGGCACCAAGAGGCCACCGGCAATTAAAATGTCAAAAAGGGCCTCTCCATACCGACGGTAGTCCAATTTGGAACCAGCCGTATCCAAATACTTGGAGATTGCTTCTAGGTCGTTACTAGCCTTCTCCAGGCCAAGCAAAACGGCATCTCGAAAGCCAGTCGGGTCATACTTCTCTTTTTCATCTAGTATGGTGGTGAATTTATTTGTTTTTAATTAGTGTTTTGAAAAATTGCACCATAAATATCTATGTAATAATTATTTCTTAATAAGTACCTCTTTTTCTGGTCTTTATACGTTGACCTGACAACACTGGCTTTTCTATTTTTTGACTCATACAACACCCTTCTGAAATACCAAAAACAAATACAAAATTACAATTCATTGACATTTTCTATAATTTTCAAACAATGAAAGTGTTATACCATGATCAAGACTAGGCTTTATGTATAACAAACTTGTGGCCTTGTGCTATTGGTTGTAAGATGAATTAAACCGTAACTAAAATGTCGTAGAGAAATAGATTTTGGAGTAAAATAGAAGTTAGCGATACTTGACAATAAAAATACTGCTTCTTTGCCTAAGAGATAATTAAATATAGTTTTATCAATTAAAAAGTCAATCAATATTATGTAGCAAGTTTTCCTCGTTAACTAAATCTTATGTATTCACTTCAATCACCATAACAAAAAAAAACCCAAAAAATTGAAAACGGACGCGTAAATATCAAAAATTACAGTATCCAATAAGAATTTAATAAGATGTGTAAAATTTCGAGGGGTTACATAAAAACCAGATCTTAACAATTGCAAAATTGATCTTGTCCCAAACATGCAGTTAGACAAGTCATGTAAAATACGTATTGGACCAAAGGAGTCGCGCATTAGCGGTATCTAATACCCAACGGCGTGCAAATTGATGGTACTGACACTTGACCTTAAATGCTGGAAAACTTTCACCTTTGGAAAAAGCGTAACACGTTACATGTACCTGTAACACGATGTTAGAACTAAGGCTCTTGGTCTTATTCAATCGACAGACTTTTATAGAGTTTGAGGAAACAGGCGCGCAATTAGGCTCGCTTCTGCTAAGGTTAAGGTTGCGCTCGGAAACCACGATGGCCGAAGTCCCAGAACTTTCAGTATTCGTAAAGTTTCAATAGGCTGCTTCTCCAAAATACTAGGATCTGTGGAAAATGTTTATATTCTTTTGTGATTACTTACTTGAATGCACGTACAACCGTAGAACAGCTCCTTTCCAGGTGTGTACAAGTGATGCGAGGTGCTCCAAGGAGAACTGTGGGCACTTGGGGTCAGCGGAACGAAGAAATAATAAAATGGAAACGGAAAACGACGGCCGCTCGCGCAGAATTCCTTGTGCGCAGTCGCTGCCGGAAAAGATGCTCTGAATATTGAGAATCAAACTCGATTTAAAGGACATGCGATGCTCATCTTTGGGAAGATGTTTTCAAAAATGCATTAGCTCCGAGCTCGTTCGAAAAAGAGGATTTATAAACATTACATTGAAAATTTGCTTATTAAATGGATTTCACGTCGCCAGATGGTGCTAAGTAATAATGTGAATCACGGTCTTGTATACAGATCTGGGCACTTAGGCGAAAAACGCGTAACCATAAGGTGGCCACTACCCCAAGAGGCGTTAGTGTTGAAAGAGCCTATACGTGGTAGCACTACGCGTGCGCAATTATCTCTTTCTTAAATACGTAACCTGCAGCTTTGTTCGTAATGTGTAATATACCGTGATTGGAATTGAAAGAAGCAACAATGACCAGAAAGTGCATCATGCCTGCTTGAATCACAATGGTAGGAATTTGCATTTAAAAATCTCACAGGAGTTACTACAAAGTTACTACACAAGCAAAAATGGACTGTATACGTTAGTATATCTCCAGTGAAAAATTTTTCATTGAAAATTCCTACAGTCAAACCGGAGAAAGTCTTTTTATAAAGAGAATTGGACCTTGTGGAACCAATTTCATATAGTGATGCAACACAAATTCAACAAGTGCAAAAGAGAGAAAATATTTAACTATTGAACTTAGCTAGGAAAAAAATTATATCATGCAGATATTTCACTTTTTGTACTTGTCGAGAGGTATTTTCAAGTTAAAAGTTTTCAGTTAATACACAATTATACCATCATTCAATTTTCATGACTTTTAGGTGAACTGGTCCATTTAACTTTAGTTTTTTAAATCATCAATTCTTTATTTGTCTAACTTATGAAAATTTTATTTAATTGGCATCGCATCGGTTTTTTGTGTAACTTTCCTTTTGAATCGGCGATAAGAGGGTGCAGTGAATTTACGGATGCGCATGCGCTGTTTCAGCTGGCTTCTTCGACACTAGTGCTTGCGGGCAAAACCGTCCACGTTACGGTTACAAGCAGTTACAAGCTACAACGTGGTGAGGATAGGTAAATGCCCAGACCTGTATACAAGAACAAAAAATCTACACTTTATATTTTTGTCTTTAATATTAACGATATTATTTTATAACAAATTGAAGTTGTGTGTAAGTTTGTTTTTTTGTATTTTTAACATAATATACACTAATATAGGTCCAGTTGACGTGTTTTACACAAAGAATCAGAAATTTAGAAAATCATTTAATTTAATGGAAATTTAAATAGGGAAAAGGTAGTAGTGCATTATTGAAGAAAAATATTGTTTTACATTATATCCTTATTACTTGCCAGCTTAAAAACAGTTGTATATTTGATCGCAATTGACTAGCCAATCTATCGAGTTTCAAGTTCTGCGCAAATGCAAACGCTGCTTCTTTGATTAAATTTTGAGTTTTGTCTTAATGGTCGTGATCAGCTTCTGTGGTGATTTTAAGATTCCTCATTATTTATTGTTCATATACCCTATATTTAGATAGCCAAGTGGTTTATGCATATCAATTATACAATAAATGATATTTTGAATTACGCGAGAGTATTCTGTGAGTACTTTTACTTACTATAAAATGTGGCAACATTCAGCCGTTTCTTTGTTCATGAGATCGCGGTAGTTTAGATGAATAGTGTAGTCAGCGTCAAGGCACGTGTTTAGAAACCTGAACTCTAACGAAGTTATCATTCGTTATAGTCTACTAAGAAAATATTCTGCCCGCAATAAGATACATTAAAAGAATCGAAATAACGATTTACAATCCAGTAGTACCCCGCGTGGTCTTAGGATCTAAAAAGCAAGTAGAAATCTCAGTTTGATATATAATTTTTTACACAATTTAGAAGACTAATTATCTTATTATATAAGTAAGTAGAAAAATCAATTCGATGTATAATTTTTTAAACAATTTAGAGGACTAATTTTTTTCTATATACTTAGAATGACTGAACAAGGATTCAAATTGTTTGTGAACAATTTGCCAGCTGAATTACAAGAGGTATATTTTTGAAAAATGTTTTGGACCCTTTGCTAATATTCTGTTAAATTTTATTCATATTTCCAGGATGGCATTAAAGCAATTTTTAATGACTACGGAGAAGTCAGTGCATTATTATGTCCTAGTGAAGCAGACTATGCTTTTGTATCTTATAAAACCTATGCAGAAGCTTATAAAGCCTTAATACATCTAAATGAAAAACCTCCATTGTACATGAATGTTTCCTTTACTAAAAAAAGAGAAAGTGCACCGATACGACAATTTAGAAATGATATTGAAAATGCCAATCTTGTTGTAAACCCTGAAACCTATCAAGATCCTAGATACAACAACAAACCAGAGTAAGTAGAACTAATTAATGTTCTGTGTATAAAAAAAATTGTATATATTAAATAATGAAATATTTTTTAATGTAGGTATATTTCCCTGGGACGTGGTAAATTGATATCTGGATATGTTCCAAAACCAGTACCACTACCACAACATTATGTTACTGATTATAATTCAGATAACGAGCCACTCTATCCACCGTATGTTGATCCGTCTATGTATAATCCATATGATGATGTGGATCCTTTTAATGATACAAATATCATGTGGAGCAGGTGTGTTAAGGAAAAAACTTGAACAGACTTTTTACGTTTGTGGAAGTTTTAATGTTTTTTTTTTGTTTCTGTCAGAGGTCACGTTTTAACAACGATTGATGGAAGAAGACACGTTCGAATGGGTCGTGGTTATACTGCTTATGAATTGCCAAAACCTCGTACACGAAAAAACGAAGATATTGATAAATTATATGAGAAACGTATTGCTGTAGGTTGAGTTAATTTTTTTTTTTTAAATATCACATTGAATTTAAATATATGTATAATCTTGACCAAGAATGTAAATAATATAATATGTAGGAGGCATACGAGTATGGCATCAACAACTTGAAGGATGATATAGGCAATTGCGAATACTGTGCAAAGCCAAGCAAAACGAACTGCGGTCGTTGCGGTGCATTTTACTGTAGCAAAGAATGCCAAAGATCTGATTGGCTTCGTCATAGAAATGATTGTCAAGCCATGCCGTTAGTATATTTTATTTATCCTTTTCACAAAAGTATTTGTTAATTATTAACTCGGGAATGATCACACCAAATTTGTTCTCTATTTGAAGGGCATTAAGTTGAGATGTATCAGACACCTCCCGGGTTAAAGTCGTTTATATTAGATTTTTACATTATATTTCTTTTTTTATAGACCTTTGACAAGGTGTGTTGACTCTAGTTCTATCTCACGGTCGAGTAGCGACGATATTCCAGTTTCCAAGCAGGAAACTTCTAGCAAGGGTCTATTTACTCTTCGACGACCAAAGAGAGAATCTACACTCAATGCCACTGCATCCTGCGAGAGGGTTACACGAAATGAGAATCTCGATAATATGCATACTAAACAACTTGCATCGTCAGCAGGACCGGCTGGTGATCAGAGTAATCGTACGCCGACGGAATCACAAGTATTATCAAAGAGCAGCAACGAAATTCATGAATCACACGACAAGATAACAGTAAAAACGACGCAACCAGCTGTTGCTTCTTCCTCACAGGAGACAATAGCTGCTGTTGATTTACAAAACAGTAATGGTGCTATTAAGAAAACTAGGACTTGCGCGAAAATTCCCTTTAATAACAATTTGAGAACGCAGAACAAGTTACCTGGTTCACAACCGCAATTTAATCACCCGACTCAATTGTTTGAACCGACGCGTCCACGACAAAATGGAATAAGCAACCAGAATGATTCTCGACCAGAAGCAAAGTCTATCGTTAATAATGTCTCTGATTTTGACTTGTCCTTCAAAAGAAGGATTCAATTCCTCCCGAAGGACGTATTCAATGAAATCAAAATCACAAGATCCCTGCCGAGTGACGGTGGTCTATATTGGGTGCAAAAACTGAGTGATACTGAAAAACTAGAGAATATCACAGCGCATTTGAATAGTCACGCTAGCACTTGGCCGTATATGCAGCCAATTGTTGGGAACATGTACGCAGCACTTTACGATAGCAAATGGTACAGAGTAACTGTGCAATCTTTAAAACCTTTTAAATCATTGTGCATTGATTACGGATATGAATACGAAAAAGAGAGCACTGATTTACGTGCAATGAAAAAATATATAAATGTTCCTGGTCTCTCAGAAAAGATTTCCATCCATTCTGACTCACCTGCGTGGTACAAGAGTCTTGGTCCAGGCAGTGTGATATCCGTGAAGCCAGTATCTGGTGCTATGAGAAGCGAAGATCAAGCTCAGGATGCTATTATCGTCGAAGTCAAACCGGATGATCCTATTGTGGTAAACCAGCAAGAATCCGTTATCGAAAAACCTCCAATGAAACAGGGCAATATAAAACCAAAGTTCAAGAGTATTGTTAATGAACTCCGTGCTAATGAAACAGGCGTCATTCAATTTGTCGCCGAGACGAGCACTGCCATTCAATCTGCAACAATGCTCATTGAACGTTTCGGACAAGTTTTTGAAAACGTCATGTTAAAGTTGAGTGAACGTTGTGTTACATTACAAGAGGATTCCAATTATCGGTAAGATCTTCCTTTCTTCGTTTTTAATCAAGAGTATGGATATTATCATAAAAGATTATCATTTTAGTCCTGAAGTCGATGATCTTGTTTGTGCCAACCGGGACGACGATGAGTGGTTCCGTGGACGTGTGTTGGTACCAGGATCATCTGTCAGAGTCCTTTCTGTCGATGAGGCCAAAGTGATGACCGTCCCAAAAGTTTATCGTCTTCCTGAAGAATTCATTGATCAAGTCACCTTCGGGGTCCAATGCAAGTTGGTAGAACGAAAGACTCCATTCGAGGTGAAATGTTTTGAAACATTTGAATTATGTGGACTAGCAATTCTTTATTACTAAAAATGACAGTGCGTTTCTCAACCTTAAGGTGGGGGAGAGTTACCGTATCGAGGTCATTAACGTCAATAAAAATGGCGAGAAAACAGAAGTGGAGATATCCATACAGGACGTTGAACCGGTCAAGGCATTGATAACTGAATGGGTCGCTGTTCCAGAACAGATGGGAATATTAAATGCTCCTTTGAAAAGTGGATCAGAGGTAACGACCGTCTATTCTATCATTTATCAGTGATATCGATTGCTTTTATTTAATAGAGGTCATTATCAACACTTCATTCCAGGTTTATTTATCCGCCGTTGTTAGTCATTACAACTTCCATGCGTGTAGCTTAGTTCCTGAGGAAATGGAACGTATGAAACGACTAAAATTAGATGTCAATAAAGATGCTCAGACTGGTGAATAGATCTGTAGAATAATAATAATTGATGATTGCAGAACTTATATCTTTAATTCCCTTTCGTTCAGCACAACCATTGACAGAAATACCGGTTCTTGGACAAATGGTCAGCTCTAAGTTCGCAGATGAAAATTATTACCGTGCTATGGTACAAAAGATCCAAGGTGACAAAATTGGTGTTGTCTATGTCGATTTCGGAAATCGTGAATACACCACTTTGGGGAATCTTAAAGTATTGAGGGATGACTTGAAAAGGGTATGTATGAATTTTTAACCGTGGAACAAATCTTTAAGTAATTATCCAACTCTTAATCATCAGGTACGCGATTAAGTTTCATTAAATTACCTGATTTTAGGAACCAGCTGGTTGTACCAAAATGACTCTCAAGGATGTACCAAGAGATGTGGCGATGACAAAAGAAGTGCACGAATTATTAAATAATCTAATGATTACCGAAATTGGATTAATGTGCACATTCGATGGTATACCTTCTACGGATGGCGTCGTTCTGCATCTGCCAGATGGCACGAGTGTCAATGATGAAGTAAAGGAAATGCTAACACCCTCTCATAAGAAACCAGCCAAAGAAGAAGGTACATTGAATTATTTATATTTTACCTAATCATATATCTTTTCACGTATTTCTGATTCACTTAATTTCAATGAGATAAAATTCTTCTATCAAAATTGTTACGGTACCAAAGACAAGGTGATCTTTATGGAAAATGACTTGGACGTCACTAATTTGGGCGCAATCGGTGATACCATAATAGCTGAGGTGGTTAGCGTTAAGCAAGTTGGAATTTGTTATCTGGTATGTGCACCAGACGAACAAGCCATAGTACATATAGTTAAAGTTTTAACACCCTTGGTAAGTGTAATTCCAGTAAGTAATTTAAACGTTTTGGGTTTGTTAGTTGACAAACATAAATTTCGTATACAGATGAATGCACATTGTCAAGCAGTACAAGAGCCGTACATTCCTCGTAAAAATGAACTGTGCCTTGCAATGTACGATAACAATTGGTATCGTGCGTTGTGCGTCGATCCATTAGTAACTCCCAACACCATTTTAGTGTTTTACGTTGACTTTGGAAATTCAGAGTATGTAGAACACAAGAATATAAGACCTATGGTTAAGGACTTCATGACGCCACCGGCGTTGATCAATATTTGCACCGTGACCAGTTCGTATTCTTCTTCATATTAACATATTTAACATCAACGTGGAAACGTGAGCTTGTCGAATCTTATAAATTATTTTCTTTTTTTCCTTTTTGCAGATTTGTGCCCACCAGGTAAAGACGAACTTCCGCCGAACGTGGCCGCAAGGGTCCAGTCTTTAGTGCAGGAGAATACTCAAGCCACAATAAAGATAATAAAGAAATCAGCACCTGGGGAATACGAGGTAGAGCTGCCTACCGTACGCGCCATTTTGATTACAGAAGGATTATTAAAGTCTTAAAAATATTACGTGACGAAGAAGTATTTCTTGGGATTTTACTTTTAATTCGAATTGCTCAGTAATTTTTGCTTAGTTTATCAGAGAGATTATGAAACATCGTTTAGAATATACAATGATTATCTGATTAGTTGAAATTCAATAGATATGTATACATATATAAAAGTTTCTATATTTTAAGCAATAAGAATTTATATTTGTTAAAAATCAAAGTTATATGTACTTACGTTAATTTTATTCGACAGTATATGCATTACTAAATTGACAAGGATCAAAGGTTAATTTCGTACTTTAATTTTAATTTTAATCTTATGTGGTAAAATCATGTTTATTTTAGTAAGTCAATTGCTACAGCTAACTAAATATGTTAATAAGATTCATTCTGTGGATACTATTTTTCGAAACCAAAGCTTTTAAGTATCAAAGACTAGACCTTAAGTCGTGTAATAAGAATAAAAATTATTGTTCAAATGAAAAAGTTCCGTATGTCTAAACAATCCTCTTCCCGGGGTTATTTGAAAATCAAAATGTATACATATGTATATGATTCTTAAGTACGCATGTCATCAAGTGATTAGCCTAACCTAACCTAATTAGAGAGTGTATCTAACCTCTCTAAAGAGGTGTCAGTACAGATGACACTTCAGTGAAAGTAACGAATTTAGACTTAAAATAAAAGAAGGTCGAAAGGAAGTATTAAACAGTAAATGATGAATGCACAAATAATGCACCCTTACGAGGGTTTGCTTCATAAATATACGAATGCCATGAAAGGCTGGCAATACCGTTGGTTCATCCTGAGCCCAGAAACCGGTGAACTTCACTACTTTCTTAGTGAGTCTGAAAAAAATCAAAGACCCCGCTGTTCCATATATCTTGTGGGTGCAGTAATTGCACCAAGTGATGAAGATTCTAACACCTTCACAGTAAACTCTGCCACGGGTAACTATAACATATTAGAGTGTGACATAAGGTATTGTACATGAATTCAATTATGATTGATCCTGTAGGTGAAATGATAAAACTGAGAGCAACAGATGCAAGAGCACGTCAGGAATGGGTGGACAAGCTACGAGCTGTCACAGAAATGTATACGAGAGCAATTGCAAGTAGCCATCCTCCATTACCTCCACGAGAACATTCTGCCAATCCTACAAGAAGTCCTGTTGCTAAGCTGGAAGTGCTCGATGCATTTGCCAATTGTCGAGAGCAATTGAGCAAAGTGGAGAAACACAATCTTGCTCTGGCTCAGTCCATAGAAAATTCTAATCTTAACTTAGACCCGGACTTATTGGTCCTCAAAGCCACTGCCCATGCTACTCTTTATACGCTGAGTCAGTGTTTGAATATTCTTTATCAATAGTTCATCAAAGGCAAAATGAAGCGATTCTCGAACTTTGTAAATCGAAAGAGATAATTTTAAATGAGGGCGAATGTATATAATTATTTTAATACCCTCTGTTGGGGTTTTCTTTTTTTGAACACGCGCGCACGTTCTTCCAGACTCAGTAAATATTTTAATCGCAATTTTTTGGTAAGTTATAACGGAGATATTTTTTGTACTTCGCTCTTGCGACTTACAAAACAATTTAATACACCTATATCAATTCATATTAGCGTTACAGTATTTTAATCCTGCATCTATTTATATCCATCTATAACAAAATGATTTAACTAATCACGCAAGAGTATAGTCCTTTTAAGAAATCTGAAACATTATATACACATATATATATACACCCCTTTCAATCCATTTGGACTTATCATATTCTTGCCTCCTACATATCGATTAATCATTGTTCTTCATCTTTATTTATACCCAATATGAATATACACTGAAACCCAACGATTATCCAGAATATATTGTAATTATTATTTAAGGATATACACATAAAAAAAAATATATATATATATCCTGAGCTATCAAAAGAAACTGTAGAACTATAATATACTATTTTAAATATTTCACTGTGATTTTATCTTAATCAATCCTAATATTAAAATAGAGGTCTCTTAATAAGACATTTCATTCAGCGCGATTGCCTGCTGTAATAAAATAATAGAATGCCTTAGGAACGAAGCAAGATTAAGATTAGAGCCTTGATTTCTGTTGACATTACAGACACGGATCTATTACTTGTGCAACATATGTTAGAAGTACTTCGTCAATGGTAGGAAGTCGTAAGTCAACGGAGAGTGAGGCCGGAATTAATACCAAGTGCAGATATTTGGGTGAAGGTAAGCAGGTGAGCAACTTTTACCTGGTTGGGTCGCACATGCGATAGAATCGCATCGTAATCCTCAGTCAGTTAGATGTAAAATCTCGAGTCACTTGGACAAAACTACTTTCGCTGAAGCTTAGCTCATTAGCGAGTCAATTGGAAGTGAACGAGGTACGTCTGGAATTCAAGGAGAATATTCTATTGAAGTAAAAATAGTTTGGAAAATTTTGAAAATCATACCTGCTGTAAGTTTCCTCAATCATTGCTTCATTAGTCTTTTGAGAACTGAGAAGAACATACCGATTCATTCATAAGTATATCTTGGACTAAATTTAGTTGAAATTGTTAAGTGCGATGTTTGCAACAGTGTAAAAATATGACAAATTCGATTAACGCTTTCGAATGACGTGCGTTCCATTTTGCACCATCTCCATCATTTTCGAGTTATGTGCTGCGAGTCGCTTCAGGAAACGACATAGATAGTTGCTCGATCGTTATTTACAAAATGCTACAGAAAAGTTTATCGTGCAGCTCGGAGTTCCTTGCGGAGGGTGCTGGTGTTAAGATTACTATGACTGCACCGGTTGAAGAAGTGCAGGCTGCTTTTTTGGTGACATCGTCCAGAGAAGAAATCATTCTGAGGTTGGAAGGTGAAGGAGAACATTCAAATGATAAAAGAAAGCCATGCGGATTTCATTTGACTAGATCAAAATGGGATCCCTATCCTTGGGTTGGTTCAGTAGAGAAAGGAAGCGTAGCTGAAAAATCAGGATTGAGGTAATTATCAGTTGCAGTAATTAATACATAACTGTAGTGCTTAAAAAAATTATGTGCTAACAGATCTGGTGATTGTTTACTGGAGGCAAATGGTAAAGACCTGGTGGGACTTCGCGTGAAGGAAATAGCATCTCTCGTTCAGAATTCAGAGACAGAGAATGTGAATCTTCAAGTATGGCGAAGTCCACAGCAAGTACCAGAGCAAGAGGATGGTACGGAAGGTGTCGCGCTGGAAGGTCCACTTCCTGATGTTGCCAGAAGATTAGCCAGTGCCGTATCCGGAGCAGTCCGTGCCCTGGAGTGTCCTGTCTGTCTAGAGAGTGCAGGTCCTCCAGTGTCGCAGTGCGTCCACGGTCACATACTCTGCGTCGGATGTCGACCGAAGACAGCACGTTGTCCTATCTGTAGGGTGAGACTAGGCCAAGGCAGATGCCTCCTCGCTGACACTATGCACAGGGTCTTCCAGGATGCTTTCAACGTCGCTGAAGACAAGGAAGGAAGGAGTCTCCGGGAATGGCTTTTCGGTAAGCGAAAGAAGCACATGGACACGAGCAGTATCAGAAACAATATCAAGAATTCGACAAAGCCAAGGCAGTTACTGGCTAGACTTCTTCTGGGAGGATTTGACAAGGCTGCTTCTGCTGAAAACTTATCTTCCACCACTCAGGATACCTTGCAGTCTGCTAACATACAATCCTTCGTATCGCGAAGACTAGGTGAGCTCAGTCTCAGCGATCGTGCAAAATCGGCCAGCACAGGCGAACTGTCAGGAAGCAGAGTACCAATTGGCTCGTTACAGTTAAAAGAGCCTAGAGAATTTTCCAATAGTTCTAATCCGGATATGACGTATAACATGGGATCAAGAAGTAATTCAGGTCTACTGAGTGTACCTCAAACACCAACCTGGGGTGGATCTACTGAATCTGTATCTAATACTCTAATCAGGTGTCCACTTTCGGATTCGAGCGAATGTCGCGAAATGATAACACCAGGGATTGTATTGGAACATTTGAGCAGAACACACGAAGGTCCGCAGATTCATTATTATCAGAACTGTGCAAGACTTCCTTTGCCAATGCCACTGGGACCCACTGCTATTTACGTACTCCACCATGCAGGAGAAATATTCTTTCTCAAGGTTCATTACATTTTAAAATATTATACTTTAACAGCGAATGGTTATAGTAATAATTCGATTTTTTTTTATACAGTGTGAAGATGAAGAAGCCTGGGTAACTACTACAGGAGCAGGAAACGCCTGGGAATGGACTCTGTATGGTTGGGGTAATGATGGTACAGAGATGAAATTTCGGAAAAGCGTAGCTCCTCTGGAAGACCCCGTAACGTCTTTAGGAATGCATAAAGCACCATTGCCAAAAGCTCTTTCTATTCACACAATAGAAATTCAGCTGCTAGAATCTAGATCCAACGAAGGACTCACAATCTAAAGCAGCTGTCTGAATCCTAAACAGGAAGTGGCTATTATTAGAGGACTTTAAAATTCTTTAAAGAAACAGTAGAAGGATTACGATAAAATAACAGATTATTTATTTTTCACTTTATCTACTCTCATGTGTACAGTAGAATCTCTCACAGCTTACCCAATGAGAAGACATGAAAGTTGAGCAAAATACCTATTATCATGTACTCATCAAAATGGTCGTGGCGGTTTCCCTTGTCTTACATCCATCACCAGTGACAAATATCAGAAATTTAACAGCCCGCCCTCTCCTAACCAAAGTCAATATAATCTGTAAGGGACTCCAACTGTAATTGGACTACAAAAATATCATTAGATTCATTGAGACATTTTGGCGCAGCTACTTAAAAGATTCATGGCAATATGAATCTAACACATTCCAAATATTAATGCTCTATCACGAGCCTAATTGACGACTACAAAAACGATAATGTATATGATTCTTATTTTTAAAAAACCGACTACATTAGCAACAGGCGCGGTGAATCTTGCACGTAATACAAATTTACGCGAAAACCACATGTCAATGCTTATGAGCACTTGGTAACTTTCGAGTATGTGCTTTACGACCCGGGAACAGTCGTGCGATTTTCTTTTCCATTTGAAAAACATTGATTTGGAATGTCCCAGACACCCCACGCGCCCACTCCCAGATTAATTTGATCGGTTTACTTATATACAAATAATTGCATCGATTTAGATTTAATTATAAAAATGCAGAAATTACGGCATGGCACAATTACACAAGTCGAACGGCCGCTTGGTAACTATTGTCCATGCTAACAATAAACTAATGAGTAATAATGTATAATGTATATATAAAGTAGAACAATAAACAACTTAAAATAACGTATGGCGAGTAATGCATTTGCTCCAGGTATAACGCATGTTAATAATCAGTCGTTTCTCTTGAATTATTAAAACAATACTGTATCCCACGATACTAAATTACTGTTGTAACGTCCCTTAAATTATGCTACGCGATACGAACAATTAACGGAGTACATTGAAACCATTGAAGCGGTTCCACTGTAATTAATTTCAAGTAAATTTAATCTTTGTTGATTTGACTAAGAGCAATACCATAATTCATATATATGCAGTGTTTAACTGTTGCATTGAATATTCTAACATGTCATGCATCACTGTTTGTTCTTCAATGTCTAAAATAAATCAGGAGAAATACGACAAAGAATACAAATTAAAAACGAGATATAGGATTATCCCTCGATTTTCTGACCTGATGAAACACAAAGTTCAGAAAAGAAAGATTGACGCGAGAATGGACAAACTTTATGGTTTTCATTTGAAATAAAGAATGATAAATACACGACTCGATGTAGTTGAGATTGAACTTTCAGACGCTTATTCAAGTACAGATACACTGGGCATGCTTTAATACTATTACAGTTGTTTCCCTCAATAGTCCGGTCGTCTCGATCTTCAAGCTCTCAATAGTCTGCGTCTGCACTGAATCGTAATTCACATAATCACTAACGGTAGCAATCTACACACGCTTATTACGTTTCGTACATACCACCGCGTTTTGCACATGCTTTAGCAGACGTGGCTAGCGGTGCCGGACGGGAATGGGAGCTGTCTAGGGAGATCGATGACTGAGTATTGAGGGAAGAGACCGTAAAAATAAAAATATGGAAAGTAAAAAAAAATTAAAATCTCAATTTATGGCTTTTTTTGTAAGAGAGCATCCATATATGGCTTATAGCTGTCATGCAGACTTTCATTACGAGATACATCACCCGCCATAATGTCATAGGCATATTTAAGTACCAATTTGGAATTTTCTTTGCCAACGACGTTAAATGATAATGAATACACATCGGTATTGCTTGAGTTTACAGTTGTCAGTGGTATTGCTAATTTTTTTCCTTGCGGAATTGAAATTTTACGTTTCTTACCACCCGACACAGCTACATAATTTCGCGTGCCTGGAACTTCTGCCTCCTCTTTTATTTTATCACGTCGGGGGCAGCTACAAATCCTTACAGGCAGTGTTTGACGACCGTGAACCCCTCCGTGACTATCCTCCAAGATGAAGAGAAGCTCTGTGGGTCTGCGATTCATGCCAGAGGAGCAGCTATTCTTGCAAAAGAATTGGAAGTTCACAGGAACGTAATCTGCTCCGGCCTGTGGTCTTGCAAGGGGCGCGACAACAGAGAAGTGTCCATTTGTCTCTTCATAGTTGCAGTCCGATTGTAAACAACGTACAACGTGTTTTACCATCTCTGGGCTAACGTTTTTATTAGACTGGTCAGTTGCTGACATGTGATTAGGACATCGTTGAACTGGATGGCTTTGATATTGATCTAAGGAGAATACCATCATGGTCCTCAGCCACATGCCTCCTTGTTCCATAATGTCCCATTTAAATTTGAGCGGTAGTGTTAGCATCATATTGATAAAGACTTTGTTTAGTGGCACTGAATACTAGATAAGGAAACAAAAAAAATAAGAAAAGGTTATTACAACAGCATGCGAATAATCGGACATCGGGTGCATAAATGCTAATGCCTTGACTAAATTGTTCCATTGCACTACGACACATATCAAGCCATTTAGCTTACTTTCGTCAACATCTTCTATCTCCACTTCTGGATATTCAATATCAAAGACACGCGTTTTCATTGCGGTATGATAATAACTTTATTCCACGTATGTACGTATAATGTAACCACAGACCTCAAAAAAGGAGCATGTATAAATACATTAGGTCAAGGCCTAACTACATTATCTAGGCATCTGTACGGAAAACAATACTACATACATCTCCTTCAATGTATTCAATAAGATACTCACCTCCCACTGCTTGCCTGAATTCTGGTTATTTGTAAGTAATTTAAAATTCCATGGTCCTGCAAATGAATCCTTGACAGGAATATATGTTTGAGGCGTTTGTGGTGCAACTTGTAAAATTGGATATGATACATCTGGGCCTATTTGCTCATAATGAATATTACATTTTTCTTCCTGCTCTTGCAGTAAGTCAGAACCCAGAAGTTTTTCGATATCACTAAAGAGACAAAAATGAGAAGAAATAATTAATTATTATACATAATGAAAAATCTTTATAATGTAAATGATGAAATACCAATTAATCTTATATATATTCCACACAAAAATTCTGGTTTTCCATTAGTTCAATTCTTACGAGGAAGACAATCTTACGAGTGAATAATAATTATTGAATTTCAAAATGAAATGATGAAATCACGCTCGCTGACATTTCAACAGGTTACTAAAATCTACCAAACTCACATGCTTTGGTCCAATACTTCTTGATAGGTAGCATCATCAATTAAAGCCGACTCTTGTGAATCCGACAATATATTATTGTGCGTCATTATAATTTTACTGCACGTATGGTGATATGGTTATCACGTAATTACACAGAAATTGGAATATTTTTCACTATTGTGCTAAAATAAATTGAAATAACGCAACTACCGACTGCTACCGACGCACGCCAGCCGCACGGGACACCATATTGTAAACGCGCGGGAGATCCGTGGACCTTTGTTCTCTAAGATGAATATTTGCGTAATAAAGAGCACATAAAAGAGAAAAGAAATTACCTATTGAAGAATCGAAATCATATCGTAGGACTTTACGGTATAATAGAAGATGTATATTTAAATTTATGCAAAATATTTTCAGAAGTTTACACGAATGGGGTATAGATTTCTTGAAAAATATTTTCTAGGGAATTTTTATATCTCTTTTTGCAGTGAATTAGGGATAAATTCAATGGCGTAGCATCTATACCTATAGATCAAGAAGCACTTTCGCCGCGAAACAGGATATGAGAACGTCATAAGATAGCAAAAAATTATGTGTAACTAAAGGGAAAAAAAGAAGGATAAAAAGGAGCAGGAATTCGATTTTATGAATGATATCCTCCCACATAGGAAAGATCTCGAAATTGGTACTGACTACATGTACGGATATGATGTTGCGACTTCGTGTGCGTCAGAAAACAGAATTTAAAGCCACTACAATACAATATACCTCAGTTCATTTCAAGAGATCCTCGACATTGATATGACAAATCTTATTTTTTTCTTATTGCATTAAAGAAAAGTTATTTCATCTCTTTGCTTAGACTGTATCATTATGGCAGCGGATGTTGCATTTTTTACCATTTTTGGTGTTTTATTATTCACTGTTTTAATACTCAATACAAAACATGCGTTATCCGCTCCACAACTTGCAGCAGGTAGTATTCTAAAATTATATTAATCGTAATTAAATTATTAAAATGTTTGGTAATTTGCAGGAAATCCATTTTTATTGACTAGAGACATGAGTGTTATCATCAGTCTGTCAGGAAATTCTTTTTTTGGCAACCATCAGGCAGCTGGACAAGAATATCAGCACAATCCTTTTTTAAATAATGAGAAATATCCTGCACCAAAATTTGAGAATCGCAATAACTTTGAGGATAATGCAAGTAAAATAGATACGGAGGTACCATCCACCAAGAAAGAAGATACTCCAAGAATGGAAGGATGTCCTGGCAATATTGCTCGAAATCCATTCTTAATTAATAAATGTAAAGAATCAGGCAACACCAATCACAGTACAAATGTGCCTACTAAGGCTGATGACAAAATTGAAAAAGATAATAAGAGAGAAACTTCTACAAAAGTCCCAAATATTGATGTTACGATGAACTATCGTTCCAAGGAAGGCTCTAAAACAATATCCGAGATGAGTAAGTACGATTAAATGCTCATACGATTTATGTAATTAAAAAAAATTGTCACATTTCATATTGTAGAATGTGATGAATATAATCGAGAAGTATCACGAACTGTCCAAACAGTACCATTAGTTGGAGTAACATCACAAATGACAAGGAACGGCAGTCAAACAATTTGCAATGGAATGCATCCATATACGCCCCTAGTGGTAGGAGGAGCTACAGTAATGCCTGGAGAGTTTCCACATATGGTAGCATTAGGACGACCATCAACAGATGGAATGTTCACATTAAGTTGTGGAGGAACACTTATCTCAAGACGTTGGGTGCTCACTGCAGCCCACTGTGTTGATCTTCGAGAGTAAGTTTTGATTATTTCAAAACTGGCTTTGATCTTCATAGCATATATCCAAACAAAAGTAAAACTTATTTTGATTTACCCATAGTCGTACGCCGACAGTAGTACGCCTTGGTGTACATCGACTGAGCCAGGGAAACACCGGGTCGACGATTAAAATTAAACAAATAAAGCGTCATCCTTCCTATAGGAAACCAGCAATGTACGCAGATATAGCTCTAATAGAACTGGCCAGACCAGCAACATTTGGGTACCAAATAAAACCAGCTTGCCTTCATCAACAGTACGACAACGTGCCCAGAAATGCCACAATCACCGGCTGGGGTGTTACGGAATTCGGTAAGTTGATTAATTTTCTTTTTCTGAAATTAATTAAATCCGTGAGTCACGTATTACCGAGTTTCGGATTGATATTATCTCATCAATTATAGCTGGGGAAGAAAGTGACATACTGCAGAAAGCAGTTTTACAAGTAATTGACAACGTAGTCTGTGCACTGAGGTACGGAAAATCTAAAGCTGTACCACATGGCGTAGTACCTAGTATGATATGTGCTGGTGATCCTAAAGGAGGATGGGAACGAGACACCTGCCAAGGTGACTCCGGAGGACCCTTTCAAAACGTTCATCCAAAAAATAAGTGTCTCTATCAGGTGATTGGTATTACAAGTTTTGGTTTAGAGTGCGCCCACGTAGATACTCCCGGTGTATATACGAGAGTATCTCATTACCTTAGTTGGATCGAGGGTATTGTATGGGCTAATGGTGATTGAGAGTGTTCAAGTATTAACTAAAGACTTTGATCTTGTTCGAAAGGTAAAAAATCCTTTTATTTCATTTAACTTCAAGTGGATCATCGTGAAGAGTAGAATAGAGATATTTAGAAAACTTACAGTAGTGATTTTTCACACAAAGAAATGTTGATGCAACAAATACATGTAAATAATGCAATACGAGACGACGTATATTGAATACTATATACAAAAGAACTGATCGAATATTTATCAGTTATTCTGCGAAGATCAAAGAAGCCATATTTAAATATTCCTTCGAGAAGGAACCTTTGCTTTCTAAAGTAAGGTCTGTAAAGATGGGCGTGTCTGTGATAATTACGTTTGCAATCGAATTTGTATAAATGAATAAAATATAAGAGTACCTAACGATTATGTACGACCCAATCGTAAGATGTACTTAATGGAGATATCGTGTGATTCATAATGGATAATGCATGAAAGGTACATCACAGTATTTGTAGGAATGAATTTTTGTAATACGAATAAACCAACCGTACAAAATAATATTGTGAGATGACATATTATACACGATTTAACTTTCAATGACACGATGACTTTTAAAGTCACGTATTTCTATCGGGAGGGCTGCAAGTATGCCACATTATTAACGTCGCAAAAATTGTTATACTTCTATTCGACTTAACGCATTGGTATTCTGTAGTTTGACTAGAATAATCAAGTCTCGTACCGCGTAACAGTGATCTTAATGCAGTCTTGCAACTGGAAATGTTCATTTGAGTGAATTAGACTTACGATCTATACATCATACTACTAGGAACGTCAAGATGTCTTCATATCTTGAATGGTTCGCCACGTGAGACCATCTCCATACGGACCATGAATTGAAGGAAAAAGTATGTGCCACCAGCTTCTGTAGAAACGTTTAAAAAAATGAGGGTAAATACCTTTGTTGCCAATTCACTTATTAAAAGTGATTTGCTTGCAAGTTCTTAATATATCCCACCTTCCGTTAAGTCCCAAAAAAAGTTTCCAGTTCTCTCTAGGCCCAAAGTCATAAGGATTTCTGTATACTCTACCCTGGGCTTCGTACTTAAGTGACTCTGTACTATTAATACGGGCCTCTATGCTCGTTTCTCCTCGGGCGATGAGGCAGGCGTGCCACCAGGCAAGTGCTCCAAGAGCTGCAAAGGTAGCTAAGCATACAAGGGCTGCATAAATGATCACTTTGCGTCTCAATTCTTTCATCTTTGTTTCGGCTGCTTGCTTCGCTATCTCAGCGAGCTCTTCCGCGCTTAGGTGATCCAAAGATTCTGTCTAATTTCACAGATATGCGTGTTAATTCGATTACAGAAGCAGCGAGGTTTACATTTGACTGTTAACATGAGCTTACCACGGGTATTATCATTGTATCGTTTATTCGCACAGGATGACCATCCAGATCAGGCTCTTGTGCTGGAAAGAATTCCTGATATGCGATTTCGATGCCGAATATCATGATGAATAGGATTCCGACAACAGTAAAGGCCATGTATTGGAAAAAGTGCCTGTGGTTGTAATGCCCTACACAATTGTTGAGCCATGCTATACTTTGGTTCAGGAAGTTTATTGCAGTAAACTGCATAAGGCATGTAGATAAATTTAAGAGTACATTTTGTGCAAGGATACGGCAATGATGATCCATTTTGAGAACACATCTGTTGCATACAGCGCAGTGATGCGTCCTGGGTGGCTTTGGTTGTATGCACTTTTTGCATATGCTCACAGCCTCTGGAATGAGGCCACCCTGTGGTGGATAACCTGCTGGGACATTCACACCCATATAATAGTGAAAACAAACATTTATAAGCAACCAATTCCCAATGATTAATAGTGCCACAGTCATTCCCGGACTCTTGTCCCACCAGTATGGCAATCCTATCCAATAAGCAATGTATACTATGGAAGCAGTCAACAGTGTCACCATCACCACCATGACCTAGGAAATATACCAATTGTTATATATGTTCTAAATCTACAATAGGATTATATGAAACGAAGCTTATGACATAAAAAGCAAAAGTAATTACCGGTCCAAGACAGGCAGTAAAATTCTCTACGAACCAAAACATTGGTTCCATTAGAATATCACAGACATAGCTCCAATTCAGAAAGTGATTATAAAATAACGATTTGAAGACGATTCGTGTTCGAGACCACCTTTGCTGAAGATTTAACCTTAAATAGAAAGAAAGCTAAGCATTGCCCTGGACACTTTTACACAATTGCTCCAAAAAACGTACCTCAGAGCCCTTGGAGCTCTCGTCAAAGACCATTGAATCCTCGTCATTTTTGTAAAATATTTCTTACATATACTTTAAAGGGATTTTTCTTGCCCCTACAACCTGATAATATCCAAACAACTTGTCATTTGAATAGAACACAACCTGTGGCGGCATCTCACTGTTTAATATTATAAAGGTCCCGGCCGCTCGGAGAAATTTTTAAAGCAGAAAACCCAAAGCTACGCATGCGAATCTAGTTGGCAGGAAAACCCCTAGAAATAGAACAATTGCAATTTGCATTTGCAGTTTCATATGGCGGTCCATTGACTGACGCAGATTCGGCCAAATCGTTTCGAGCTTTCCAAGATCTCAGGATCTTTGGTTCGGCGAATTATGAAAAATTCTCGTTAACTAAATTTCAGTAACGATCAAATATCAAATCTTCAGCTTGAATAGAAAAAAATGTCCAGCAAGGTAACCACGAATTGAAAGATATTGCTCCAGTTTAAAAAAGCACCTGCGAATGCTTTACAGCGTCAATGCATTTCACTCCACGTCGGTCAAGCCGGCGTACAGCTCGGAGCGGCCTGCTGGCAACTTTATTGTGTGGAGCACGAAATCTCTCCGGATGGTCAAATAGCAACAAACAGTCTATCACCGAAAGATGAGAATCTAAATGCCTTCTTCCATCAACCCGGAAATGGAAAGTACATTCCAAGAGCGATGATGATCGACCTGGAACCCTCGGTGATAGGACAATTTCAAAATTCCGCGTACCGCGATCTCTTCCACCCAGAGCAGATGATCTGCGGGAAAGAAGACGCAGCCAACAATTATGCCCGTGGCCGTCACACAGTAGGGAAGCAGCTTCTGTCGACAGTATCAGAAAGGTTAAGAATCCTTTCTGAAAACTGTGACGGTCTTATGGGATTTTTGATTTTTCATTCTGTGGGCGGTGGTAAATATCAAATAAAAAGAAAACAGTAGATTAGCATAGATCATGACTTCACAATTAACAATGGCTATTTCTCACAAGGTACCGGTTCGGGATTCAATGCTCTGTTGATGGAAGAGTTATGCAATTCCTTTGGGAAAAAAAGCAAATTACAAATGACAATCTATCCCTCACCAATGATCAGTACGGCCGTTGTTGAGCCCTACAACGCTATTTTAACGAGTCACTCTACAATGTACGAGACTGACTGTTCTTTCATGGTGGATAACGAGGCACTATATGACATATGCCGACGTAAATTAGACGTGGATCGATTGACCTATATTCATTTAAATAGACTAATAAGTCAAGTGGTATCCTCGATAACAGCTAGTCTTAGATTCGATGGACCATTGAACGTAGATCTCTCAGAGTTTCAAACGAACCTGGTTCCTTTTCCGCGAATACATTTCCCTCTGTCGACATACGCTCCCGTAGCAACTGCCAGCAATGCAGACCATAACACAATGTCAGTGGCAGAATTGACAACGGAATGCTTTGAACCTCGCAATCAGTTGGTTACCTGCGATCCTCGTCGAGGAAAGTACATGGCCTGTTGTCTCTTGTATCGCGGAGACGTTGTACCAAAAGATGTTAACTACGCCATCGCCTCCATCAAGCAAAAACATGGAGTGGAGTTTGTTGACTGGTCTCCTACGGGATTCAAGGTTACCTCTAATGACATAATATACAACTGACAAGTATTATGTCATATCTAATTTTGTTTGCTCCAGATTGGTATTAATTATCAACCGCCAATTGTAATACCTGGCAACGGTCAGGCCAGAGTTCAAAGAGCTGTTGCTATGTTGAGCAACACCACTGCCATTGCTGAAGCCTGGTCCAGGCTGAATAGACAATTTGGATTAATGTATAAAAAGCGAGCCTTCCTTCACTGGTACTTGGGCGAAGGTATGGAAATAGATGAATTCCGTGAAGCAAGGGTAGATCTTGCTGTATTGGAGATGGATTATGCTGAAATATCCAAAGACACGTAAATTTACATACATATACATATATCGATCAGTTATAAAACTTTTGTATTTGGAACAATCTTATTTTCTATCTCTTCCTTTAGTGTCTATTGTGTATACTTATTTCTTGTATGTGTTTACGAGAAACTCTCAAAAATAAAGGCGACACAATTATTAACGGAAGGGATACGGTATATGTGATTTTCAATGATCGTAAAGAGAGATTTCCGAATTATTGCCAGAATTGCATTATTATTATTATCATCATCCTTATTATCATATATAATCAACGAGCGAGCACAACGAGGTACAAAGGTAATATCATCGTCTTTTTCACTATTCTTTATATAATATATATACATATAGATATATACATATACGTTATTAACATTAGAGTTAATATTGCTGCATTTATGTATATATTTGTATATGTACTTTACATATGTATATTTGTCTGTATATATACACTTCATAGAATTTGTTCAATAGACTCGTGAAATATTTTTAATAAATTCAATCGTATAATATATCGCAATGACGTATATATATAATGTATGTATAATATCATTCAGTAATAATTAAATAGTAGTAAGGTACAGGAGAATCACACGAGGTGCAGCCGCGATAGACCGCAGTAATTTCTTCTTTTTTTTTTCTTTTTCTTTTTGTTCCTTTAAATTTTGTTTGGTCAAACGCCAGCTAGATCATCTAAAAAAACGCTCTAAGTATAATCGGTGGCTTTCATTCGCATTCTACGTAGCTTCGTCTTCGTTTCTTTCTCATTGAACCTTTGTGCCACCACTAAGCCAATAGCAAGAGTCTGCTTCGCAGTCGCAGCTACGCTCCTAAGTTGGTCTAAAATGCGAAATAGAGAATAGTACAGAAAAGTCGAGTTAATAACGCAGCTGGGAAAAAGATTACGGATTAAGGAGTAACTTTGTCAAAATTTTTTTAAGGTACCATTTCCACGCGATTACAAGACGCGCGCGTTTGCACGCATGTAAGACGGAAGGTGAAGTCGCACGCGAGTTCCATTTTTAATGGAATTTTTTAAATAATACTGTTTAATAAAGTGAACGATATCGTTCGTCACTCTTTGAAAGACAGGGTAGGTTAGGTACGATACGCACGCGTAAAGAGTTATTCAACTAAATTGTGTTAGTGGCATTTGACAATTATCATGCAATCTGATCAAAGTACTGATTAAGGAGGTTGCGTGACAATTGTTAAATTCAACTGAGCTGAACAATCTTGTATATTTATATAAGGTAACTTTAAAAAATTTTTGGCAAATCTTATTTGGACCATAGTTGCTGTTGATTATTTGTTTAACATGCTTGCACTTTCCAAAGGGACTGTATTGACAGGGGGAAGATAGCAAAAGTGGTCAAAAGAAAGGACTGGGTAGAATATGAGAAAAAGTAGAAATCAGTCCTTTTGAGATATATAAAGGTTATCCTATGATAAGGTAACGTGCTGTTTGTTAGGGGGAAAGTCTATGAATGATAGGGGTTGATCGCCCAAAGAATTGTCCCAGTAAGGGATGTCCACTCCATAGGGGAGGTTTTGACGTTGAGATCGATCGCGACGAAAGGCAACGAGTGGGGTTACACGGTGTATGTGTTCGTTTATGTGGGTACGTGTCTGTGATTGGCGTCTACAAAGAGGTTGTAGAAATTCTTCATACATCCCTCCTTATGTTAATCGAGAGTGGTATGTGGTTTGAATTTATAACTGAGCTAACAGTCCTCACAAGACGGTATCGAGAGTATCGAGACTTCGCAGAAGCTGTTCATCCTTGGAGCACCACTGGACCAGCTCCTCAATCGTCACCACGCCATCCTTGTTCGCGTCAATTAACTGAAATTGAAGGAAAAAATTCTGAGCTAATTGGCAAAGCCCTTAGGGTTTCTTATAGGGATGAGAAGTGTGCTTCCCAAGGTTTGGAATCTACAATGGACTCACGTGAAATATACGATCCACGTGTTCACGCGCGGCCATCTGTGGCTCAACTATTTGTGGCTGTGTGTAACGTCCCAGCATCTCGTAGATTGATCCCACGACGCCAAGCATCTCTTCCTTGCTGATCAATCCATCACCATCCAGATCGTAGAGTCCAAAGACCCATTGTAGCTTCTCTTCGACGGAACCTCTGGATACCTTGGATAGTATAGTCAGAAACTCCTGAAAAGGAGGGTGCAGAGCAGATAGGCAGAAAACCGGAAATGAGAAATATGAAGGAAAGTCCAAGTTAGATTGGTCGGAGGTTAATATAGCTTTTGGCTTCTTACTCACCTCAAAACTAATCTTGCCAGAGGGTTTCCGCTTCATGGTGTTGAAAACGTAGTGAGCATACTGACTCGCATCTAAAGCAAGCAGGTGGTATTGACTTTGCGAATCGAGGCAGAAAGGACCGTGAAAGGAGATGAAAATGGAAGGGCGGCTGGGTATAATGATGTTAGATAGGCCAGAAGATAAAATATATCAATATCGTCTGATAGGTTCAAAAGGTGATCAAGGCTTATCGGAGCGGGAAGGACTCACCACCCTGAGGAAAAAACTGTGAGAAGATCTGCTTGAAGGCTTCCTCGTCGACGAGACCAGTTGGGCACTCTTGCTTGAAACCCCTGTAGATCAGCTGGATCTCCTTCCTGGTGAATCTCGTAGTTGCCGCCAGGGTGGTCAACTCTTCAGGCCTATGACGACCTCCTAATGTCAGGGCACCACCCCCAGAACCCCCTAAAACGCCCCCGAGTTCTTCAAGTTCGTCCTCTGTAATAGCCAAGGACCTTAACTCCTAAGACTGTACCACACGTTCGAGATGCTTTTCAGGATCTTAGTATCCAGTCGTTAGGGTCTACTCACGAGAGTGCAAATACGTACGAAAGAGTCCCAGTTTTTCTAATCGTATTTCTTTTATTCTTTCTTTTAATTTTCAGCGGACTCTTTCTCCACGAATAAGAGAATTGTGCATTTCTCCATTGCTTCTCGGTGTTTCTACGTCGTGTGCTTGGTTGCTTCAGAAGAAGTCGTACCGGAAGTAGGTGCAGGATTGCAGATAAAGAGACAGACAGGAAGAAATAGAAATTGCCAGCTTTAACAGTTTCAAAAGTGAAGTACAGAATTGGGTCTGTAACAATAACTTTGGAGGAGACGAAACGGGCTTGTAAAGTGGGGTAAAGTGGGTGGATGTCAGGTCTCACATTTCAACTTCAACAGTTTCATCTAAATAGATACTCTATCCGTGAATAACTAAAATACCTATGTAAACGTGCAACGTTATCTTGGCTCATGTCAATTTTCTGAACTTATACCTAAAACTACACTCTACGTAATATCAACAAGTATTTAGTTATCGGTAAATGCTATAGCTATATATACTTCTACAAGGTATGTATAGGATCATTGAGAAAAAAAAATGTATATTCGTCCCCGAGAGGGTGAGTTCTAGAATAACCCCTAACGCTATCATGCAGTACATTATATTATCCTGACATGCGTGAAGGATGCTCTTAAATAAACCATGTGACTAAAATTGAAGGAAAATATTTGTCACCCTTCTCGCGTACGAGCGACCTATTTCTTCCTCTGGGATTTGAAAGGGGATTTCCCCATTTCAAAACTATCGGTAAATAATAAGATTCCACAGAGATTCTATCTGTGTGTGTAATTCGTAAAGTCTGCCTATGGAGCAGCTCTGATCCCGGGCATCCGGGGTCACCATGGTAACCGAGCAGCTCCAACCCCATGTTCCGCACCTACCCCACTTTACTGTAAAGCCACGAAGTCGAAAAAAAAAATAAAAGGAACAAAAAAACCAAACCTAACATCCACGCATTTTACCCCAATTAGAAGGGAGAAAAAGAAAAAAAATACAAGTAAAAGACTAAATGCACGTAGTTGTTCAAATAAAAGATTTCTCAAGTATGAGAAAATGAGCGTTGAAATTACTGGAAAAAAACTTGCATATCCACGTAATAAATTAGGTAGAATATACAACCTCTCTCTATAATTACAGTAAGGCGAACCGTACTTTGAAGTTCCTTTCTTTTGTACATAGATGTTTCGTGCTACTCTTTGTCGCGCTTGCTTGAGAAAAGAAAAAAAAAATACAAAAAAGTATAAATGAGAAAAGGGAGCCTGAAACTGTCCGTATGAGCTCATTACATTCCTGCCGGTTTTCCCGGAGTCCACAGGGGGCAAAGCAGCGAAGGTGCTATTGTTCAAGTATCGACTGGTACAATTGCTAAAAGGAAACTCGAGCGGCACTACAGTCGAGTGTGTATGTACACTTACTTTTGTCACGGCTCTTACGGGCCTTCATGCCGCTCGGTGGGGAATTCAGCTCGACGAATTAGCGTTTACCGTACACCAGAGAGAAAAAGTTACGATTCGTTGCAGAATCGAGTGTCTTCCTGTTTATCCGGAAGCGCGTGGGTTCTGATAGAGCGTGATAATAAATGTAATGCGTGCTCCTTGTCGATCTTACACCTGATGATACGAGAACGGACCGACCGACGTCCGAGTCTGGCTCCGGTGACGCACTGAGTGGAACTCTACGCAAAAGCACGGGGTTTCGTGGCTGCGCGCAAGCTCGATGTGTTTGCTTTAAGCTTAACGCTTACCCCTGTAATCTATTTCAGCGAACCCCATGCACCTACATACACACGTCAACGTGAAGAACTTTGTCGAGGTGCTCGAAACTCTTTTTATCGACAACCATCTGCCACCTAGAATGGACATAGTTGCAACTAGGTTCTACTGATGCACGTTTCACAAATTCCTCAAATTATAGCATCATATTTCCCCATGGGAGATAATGAATCTTGAATCCGTTCGCGGAATATGTTAAATTATGCATGACACATGGCTTATGGTGTGTAGGATGAATTATAGGTTAGAGAACGGGAGTATGCATTCCAAGTAATCCTAGTGAAATGGCTTTGGTTGACCCAGAGAACTAGCAGAGCCAGATCAATCCTAAAACTGTACAGAAATAGCTGCCTATCATTTATTTAAAGCGACCTAGACAATAAAAGCTTGAGTTGCTTTTTACCTTTCTACCGACAGGGATATACTTTGTATTATGCATCTACGTTGTAGCCCGCAACTTGCGTTCCAGTTTTCATTGTGACAGCCATACAATGTTGCACTTACGTATATTGTTACCTATGTAGGGATGTGCCGGGCTACAATAGCGACACGTTTCTATGAAAGATCGCAGGATGTCGCGTTCCGTCCTTCCAGGCATTAATGTATATTGCCATCTAACGATGAAAACAATTGGAATTTCGGAACAGCTGGACCTTCGGAATCGGAATTCTAATTGGTCTAAACTAGCAGGGCTACCGATAATGGTTCCCTCGAGCAACGGATAATGAAGCGCGAATTTAAATTATACCAATGTCACAAGATTCATAATAAAAAGAAATCTACCGTTTAATAAAGTAGGCATTTTCGTCTACCGATACTTCTGTTCGACGATTATCCATCGGTAAATCAACTTATATAAAGTTATATAAAGTTTTACAAAAGGGTTCCACACGCGCCGTGTTCAATTTCAAACGTACGCGCATCCAGCAATTTAGCAGACGAACTTCCATCAGCCATATCAGAAATTTGTTAAATCTTGTACGAAAGAGTGGAGGCCGCTGAGGTGCTCGATGATGAACGGTAATGATATATCTGAGTTGTCGTACAAAGAGCTTCAGGCTTTGGCTTTGAGATATCGGGTTCCTGGTAATATAAAGGTAGGTTATACCGTCAATTGTTTTGTCTAGTAGAGTAACGGACATGTCCGATGCCGTCTTTCGAAATGAATCGTACGAATGTCTATTGTGAACGGTAACTTTTGATCGATTATCCCTTATTCTTTCTCACAGAAGGATTTACTGATTAAGATACTACAAGCTGCCAAAGGTGGAAACGAACCTGAAGTTGGTAGGTTGCTTACTGAATTGAAGCAGACACGAAAAAAGAGGGTTCGGAAAGCCAAACACGGGGAGTTAAATTTGACTTCTACGCCAATACATAGTCCCACTTATGCTATGGTCGAGGAGTGTTACTGTCCACAACAACAACCGCCGTACCAGTGGGTAAGACAGGATTATGATTATGTTAAATATGAACGATATCCATGATTCATGCGAGAAGGACATTCAATATGGCCGACTGCTCGTACGATCATGTGTCATCACTTCGAAAAATGGAACTTAGTTTCCTTCGTGATCTATTACGGAATTGAAACTACGTTGTACCAAACGTTTTCTATGAACTATGAACATTTCTAGAGAATATGCTGTGCTGGTAAATAATTATGTTAAATATGTGAACGATTTTACCATCGGCTGGTTGTGTATTTCTATTGGTTTTTTATCATTATTGTGGTTTTAATTCTTGATTGCAGGTAGGCGCCGAAGAGGTGATCGTGAATAGAGAGGACGAGGCTAACAGAATTCCCCCTTATGATGAATTCAGGCAGTATCTATTACGTCGTATACATAAGGAATATCAGAATTGTGATATGAATAATAATGCTAATATTGTAGAATCACAATCTATCATGGACCTAAGAACTGCAGCAGAAGCGTCAACGCTTGATTCGATAACGTTTGAACCAAGTAATGCAAGATCGAATGTAATTGCCACTGGCGATCTTAACACCACAACAATGCAAGTGGCACCAGATCACATAGAATATCAGATTGTGGAAGATCCAAATGCTAATCAACGTGGTCCAATACTATTGAAGAAAATGCTCCAAGCGCCAGTTGGTGCTGATCTTGGTGAAATCGCAAGTCCAGAATGCGCTGGTTATCGCATTTGGTCGTTGGAATATCAAACTGGTAATAACGAGATGGACAATTCAGATACTTTGACGGCAGATTCGCAAAGCAACGGAAACGATGAGAATTGGATAAACACCACTGAATATTGTCGTCTTATCAATAATGTTAGAGATCAAATATTTTTAAATCCACCGCATCTCACGGATAAGAATATACAAGAAGTCAACCAATTTCCTGGTAGCCTTCCCAGTGATAATGCCAATCAGTATCAGTATGGATATCAGAATCTAGACGTTCAACAGAACTGCCAAAAGTGGATAGCTGCCAATGCTTTAGAAATGCGAGAACCGAATTATTTGCAGCCTATTACTGAGAATCCTCGAACGTTTCACACTATTTATTACCAAGGCGTCGATACGAACTACGCAGTTTCGAAAGCCATAAATAATGACTGTTCTCTCTATTCGTATCAGACGCCTAACGACGTGACGCTTTACGACTCGAGTCAGAATATTATGGACACAAACGTAAGAGATGAATTGCAGCAGTACCAGAATCAAAACGTAGCACCGGTAATGCAGTCAGTTCCCGATCCAATGTTCTACTCGCAACAGATAATCAAACCAGTCGAGGAGTCCACCGGATACTTTAAACAGGCTCCTAGTGACAATTTCGTACAGGACCTTTATACGTCGAACATCCAGGAAATGGTTTCTCCTCAGCAAGAAGTAACCACGAACTTTTATAAGTACAGCAAAGAATCCACAGTATCATTTACCAATATTGAGAGCAATGGCACCCAGTATAATACTGGATTTTTTAATCAGTACACTACTACGCACGATAGTCAGCAGCCTGATCTTTCTTTGGTGGAAAACACAACGGCACAACAGCAACAGCAACAGCAACAAGAGAGTATCACGATGGAGCAGGTATCCAATAACATACAGACGGATATGGTGTCTGCTATGGAAGTGACACAATCCCAATTGAATGGTGTGTTCCCTTTGGTGATTAGTTCAACCACATAAGAATAATTAATAGACAATTAGAGAATTTCACGAGGCCAGATTGATATTTTCTTTTTTTTTTTGGCGATTCTGTATTTCAGGAGTACTAGATCCTTACCCGCCTAGATCATTGGTTAACAATACGACGGACTATTATCTAGAACACATTCTGAATCTTCGTTCCAACAACTACGTGGATTATACGAAGATCGACCAGACTTCCTGTGTATACTGTTACACGGCGCCCATCGTCACGCAAATGACAGCACCCACTAGTAGTGGTATCTGTTCACAGAAGAAACGATTTATTGCTGAGAATAGGCAACATACTTTTTTACCTTATTGGATGCTTTACAACGATGCTAGCACTGGAATGTCTATGGCTAACGTGAAGGAGGTTCTTCAAGAGAAATCAGTTGTTAACTTAGATACCAGGATTAGAGATTCAACGGACGACAGCGAAGAATCCATTGATAATGTTTGGATTGATGATTATGGGAATTATCAGTTGTCCACCGAGAAACATTCTCAGGATATAGAAGTTGTCGTTTCTGAAGATGCTACTAATCCCTTTTTCACCGATACCCTAATGGATTCCAATGCTTCTCAATTGGATAGCATTTGCAATGTTGCAGAAGAAGGTTGAACTATTGAGAATTAGGTATGAATCATAGAAAATTATTTGAAAATGAAAAGACTAAAGGAATACGACCAGATTATAGGTATAGGACAAAATTACGGGTCAATATATTCTTTCTTGAGAATCGCTTGAGCGATATTTTGTTACTTTATATTTCAGACACGGATCAATTAATCCATGTCTGATTAAAAAAAAGCATAATATATCCAGAGATTGATATCATTAAATAATGTTATTTCTAATAAGAATAGGTAATAAACGTTAATCAAAGGAATCATCAACAGAAGCAGCAAGTAATCTAAAAGTTCGAGAGAGGTTGAACAAAGTAATCGTGCCCTAAATTACGATTAATATATATAGATAAGCATCAAAGCATTAATATTCTTGTACGCCAACAGGTAAATAAAAGCACCGTAATTTTCATAACTCTGTAAAACGTAGAAACGAGAACATTCCAGAACCGGGAATTTCGAATAGGCGTGTACCGATAAGGGCATGCTTACCAGATACACCAGTCTTGTTCGTGGACGCATCGGAGGGCGATATCGGCCGTAGCTAAAGTCGCGTGAAAGAAGACTCGTTTCTTTGACGGTAGGACGGCGTGTCTGGGGGTGTGATTGAAGATGCGAGCTTTCTGGACTCACCAGGAATACCCTCGGCTTGGAACTGAGCGCGGATGTAGTTGAAGACCTTCGCAGGGATGGATTCTCTTCGTTGGCTCTTGTAAATGATCTCGCTCTCTGGATTCCGTGAATGCTTCGAAGTGCTCTGCCTGTCAGAGGATTTCCCTGGTGTCACGTGGACACTATACATCTTCCAGGATTTACAAGAGAACTTTAGCTCCTAATACCTCCCGGAAATTACTCCAGGATATGCTTCACTTGGGTGTCTTGTCTTTGGCCCAAGATCAATTTATTATCTTTAATCGGAAATTCGGCTGGACAGTTTTTTATTTGCGATCAGAAATAAAGATCAGTTACCGGAGATGGAAGTAGACTGTACTCGGGAAGGTGCACTCACTGAAATAAGGCCTTGCTTCTATTTGCTTGCGTGGCGTTGCGGAAATGTAATACACCTACAGGTATATATAAGTACTGTCGCGCATTCGCTCTGTACTTAATGAGGTCCTCCGAGCGCGAGACTAATTATTTCACTGCTGCAACGCTACTTGTATAACACATGTATGTGGATACGGAGTAAAAACGCCGAAATAAAGACTTCGCGAAGCTGTGCCTGTAGTTCATTGGATGAGCTTGTTTCACTTTTTCAATGTACCATGCTTTTTTCAGATCCGAGATAATTAAAGCTGCAAATGTATTCATGTCTTTTGATTTATTTCCAGACAAATTATTTTTGTACTGTGCTATGTATACTAGTTGTATTTTATTGTTGTATATCCCGTGGGAAACCTGGGTTAAAATTTCTGTTGTAGAAAAATATAAATTATCTGGTTGACGTTATGCTGGAATTTCAGATACTTGGCAAAAATTCGAATGATGAAAAACGTTAATTTTTTTTGGTGTAAACATTACTATTTTAATATAATATCTGAACTGATTTCACAGATCTTCCTGTGAAACGGTGTAGCATATTTTTGGGAATGAAGATTAAATGGATCCGTGGTTTCTTTTAAGTCACCCCTTGGTTGGGATAGTCGGAAAAAAAGAAAATGCATAGGACACTCAGGGCGACCTACATTTTTGTTAAAACTGTATTTACTTTTTATTATCCGCATGGATTAATCTTTGCCGCTCACAAACTTGTCTCGGTTCTTCACACAGCTGAAGGCTACGTCAAAGCAATTTAAATTAATGGTTGACTTTATTTTACTTGTGGTATAAAGAGTTTTTAATCATATATTTTTTACGTGATCGCGTAGTCGTACATATTTTGCTTATAATACATATCTGTAATGTTCTGATAAAAAGTCTAATATCGAATCTGCAATGTTTTCCAAAAAATTTAATTTAATAATACTTACACCAAATAAGTATGAAATGAAGGCTATAGTAACTCCATTTAATTTTTGAGTAACCATTACTGTTCCGAATGTCGTCGTTATACATGATCAGCTGCTGCTTCATTTTAACCTTTCAGATTTCAAAGCATTAGAGTCGGTGAGCTAAAAATTGTTAATAAAAATAAATTTCTTCTACTGTTACAGCATGTGTAATTCAGTCTTATGAAATATCGTATCAGCTTGTCATTACAATAAATGATGTAGTATTAACATAGAAATAATTAAGTTTACATTACAATTCTTGTCTTGCAGGTTAGGTACGAGCAATTTATTTTATGTGAGAACATGTTACGCGTGACAAAGTTAATAGGCAGTAGCACCCTGATCACAGGAAATTTAGTATCTTGTGAGTGTGCTGCAACAAATTCACTTTATTCACAAATCATCCGCTGGAAGAGAAAACCGATATGGTTACCTACTGCAAAGAGCAAAATGTTTAGGGTACCAGTAAAGCCTGTCATTCCTAAAGAAGACAATGATGAGCTTCAGCGTCTAAGTAATATTTACAGGACATATATGCGCTCCTTAAGGTAATTCATCATTACTATTGATTTGTATTCAACATGGTACGTAACTCGTATTCTGATCACAGGAAGTATATGATCATGATTGGCAAAAAGAATGAGATACAATTTGATCATTCAGTTGTTGAAGCAGCAGAAGCAGCAGATTTCGAAAAATGTTCAGCAATAAATAATGAATGGAATGAGGAAATTGCAGACATAAGAAAATATCGGTTGCACAAGGAAAGAACCCAGCGTGATGTAGGTAATTGGTGGAGAATGAAAAATTATAAAGAAATGCTAGCTGAGAATCAAGAAAAAGTTGAGGAAGAAGTTCGGTCTGTAAAGAAACAGGCAGAAAGTTTCATCACTGCGGAGAATATTGATCAAGCTATCGAAGAGGCATTAACAATTGTAATAGATCACAACGCAGCTATTGACCATGATGGTAATTTTTACAAAGGAGAATATTCTGATACCAAGATTGATATCAAACAAGAAAGACAACTTAAACAGTGATATGGGATTGTAATTTAGTAGCAACAAGTTTATACAAAATAATTTCCTTAAAAACAATCATGAGTACCCAGTGTGCAAAGGAAGTCATATTAGCCAACCCAACACATTTTCATTAATGGAGTATGTTTATTGAAAATGATAATGCATAATGCGATGTGTTTGTATTGTACAATAACAAAAAATAAAGAAACCTTTATTCACAATTTCCCGAGTTCTATGAGCGTGCGTGCATTATGGCCGCGACTATTAATTTCTTTCTCTGATACCGATAACAACAATTATCCTTATCCTCTTTGACGCTTTGTTCGTATATCGTCTAAACAACCAGTCATATAAATCTAATCACAATATTCTACCGTATCATTCACCACACGTGAATTTTGCATTCGTAATCCATTTAAAATTACTGTGCTTTATTTTCATCCAGTTTTCTCATGTATCTTCACAAGAAAACCGATAACAGTCAATTTCCATACAAATTTTTCTTAAGTTTTAGATTAGCCGAATTTCGCTGAATAAGATATTTGTGCTGAATTCTACAATAACCAAACCAATTCTCGACTTTGTCAATGCTAACAAAAAGTATTGTTCCAGTCCTGCTTTCCGTGACACGATTTATTACTATGAATAATCGTACAGACTTACAATTCGAGTAACACATATCGTAATGCAGCATTGTTACAATAACATGGTCAGATTATCTTTGGCTTAGACACAAACGATTTCTTTCCAGAAAGAGATGAGAGGAGATAAATAGTAAAAGTATGAAGGAACAGAGAGAGAGAAAGTTAATGAAACAAAAAAGTAAATGTGAAGAGCAACGAAAATAAAGTATCGCTTGGTATAATTTTGAGCCGACCTCTCGAGTGAAAAGGAAGGGAGCCTGTAATATATTTTTCTGAAAACAATCCACACGCGGATGTGGAAACAGTGTCCGATAAAAAAACGTTATAGCGTATACATATATGTATATATATATATATATATATATACATAACTCTATATACTGCGATCGATTAATCTTTACAGTTAATTTGTTAATCGGTATGCATAATGGTAAACGTTATAGCGTATACATATATGCGACCTCTCGAGTGAAAAGGAAGGGAGCCTGTAATATATTTTTCTGAAAACAATCCACACGCGGATGTGGAAACAGTGTCCGATAAAAAAACGTTATAGCGTATACATATATGTATATATATATATATATATATATACATAACTCTATATACTGCGATCGATTAATCTTTACAGTTAATTTGTTAATCGGTATGCATAATGGTAAATGTCATAACCCTATTACGATATTATTCATTGTACGTGCGCGTGTAGGTATTTCATGTATATTATTCTAGAGTCGACAAAGAGACGAATAATAAAACAAGTCTTTGAATCTCGCAATTGAACAGTGTTTACGGCGAAACCTCATCGTTCTGTAAATCTATATAAAATAAGGCGCTAGTATGTTAAGAGATCGTAACGCTTATGGCAGGTGAAGAAGAAGAATAAAGTATCTCGTGATCGAAGATTGTTTAAAAAAAATAGAAAATTCAAACATGAACAGGAACACAGAGTCTCGCCCACACCGTGAGGAGAGCAAAAAAGCAAAACTAAAAAAGAAAGGATAAAGTCAAAAAGAAGTTAAAGGCTCTGCCTCTGCTACGCATAGATTAGAATGACGCAAAGGTAGATCGGTAGTTGGCTCAATCGAAAAATTGGTACAATTGTACGATGGTAGAATATCGGACAATCAGACAGCAAAGGTCACGCATGAATTCTATAGTATTTAAAAAAATTCTTTCCCCTTTGAGAAAACCATCAGCTACGTTTATATATTCTAACTTATCGCTTATTAAATAATCATTAGCTCTTTTTAAATGTTAACATAAGTTACATAGGTACTTAACTTTAGCTTTAGATCTAGCGGCTATAGTATCTTAGATGCGGGATGGGACTATTGCACTTTGATATCGGTTTCGAAATACGTCTTGTTCATTTGAAATACTTTGAAGGCTCTGACGGTGACAGATTAATAATTTTTTCTAAAGTTAAGGGCGAGCACTGGATGTGCCTCGATGAAAGAAAAGTTCTATCGTACAGATACAATGTAAAACCCTTAGGAAACAAATTGTCTATGACGTCGGAAAAAGTATGATAGTGCATTTATATAAAAGAAGCAAAAATCTTTGTTACAACTGCAATCTATGGGACAATTACAAAAAATTAACGCTTATAGGTAACCGAAGATGCAAGGATCACTGTTCTACGCGGATCCTTGGACTGACTGTACAATTTTTCCTGTTGTCGTTTTTGCTTCTGATAATTTTAGTCCAATGTTGTATCACAATCTCACATATAACAATGTCTTAATTCGGCTTACACAGGTATACAAAATGTTCAGTGTTCTTCACTCAATCTCTCATCAATCATCTCTCAGTCATCCATGAAACATTTCTAAAGTGTCTCTAGCTCACAAGATATAAACCTATCACTTTTACCTATAGGCTGTATACCTCATACATCTCGAGCACCACAATTTAAAAATGTGTCGCGTCCATGATTCATGCGCTCGTTAAAAATATAAGTTTCGTAAAAAATTCTAAACCTTAAATCTGTCATTTGTGTATAGTATAATATATGAAAAAGATGGCACATACGTTTCTAACTACGAACTCGACGACGGGTATGGCAATTTCTTAATTATTATTAATAATATATTTCCATTGCCCACCTTTTTTTCTTTTTGTAAAAAATCATTTCATAAAGAATCGCCCTCTTAGCATCCTCAAAAGCTATATACCCCTCGTCTTGTTCGGATCAAATGGTACCGGAAGGAAGGCTTTTTGCTATTTTAAACATTTTTCATTTTCACTCTATATTACGACAAAACAGGAAACTCGGTAATCTTTATCGTGCCACTCGCAAGCTTTCTCCTTCAGTATCTCAATTAGTCTGAGTGCATAAAATTAACCCTTTCGTTACGGAAGCACGCTCCAATCCGCTCTGCCACTGAACGAGGTACCTCGCCGCAAAGTTTGCACATTGCACGTCGGTAATCTTCGGTGTTCGCACTTCCGTCTTTCAACGCCACGTTGGGATTCTCTTGTACGTACACCTTTTTAAGAGTATATATATCAAATTATAATTGTTAGTGACGAGAGTCGTCACAGGTCGTCGCATAGATGTCGACTATAGTCAGCCCCCGTAACGAAAGGGTTAATAGCAATAAGAATTTCGTGCCACGAGGAAACACTCATTGACCAAAATCATCATCCACTCGAATTCATTAGTTCCTAATGTACCTGAATCATGTACATATAATCATATCCAAATCATAATAAAACATGTAAAACGGAAGTATAAATCGGCAATGACACGATGATTGATCGATATTTGTTTCTCGTAGAGATTGAGGCGTACTTAACATACTATAGGCGCACGTGTTATCACCACATCGATTGCGTAAGATAATTCGCAAACAAAAATAGAAACAAACAAAGATCTAAATAATCTCTACTTAATTACAACAAAGCACAAAATTTCAGAACAATACAATGCGCATCAATCAATAAAAACAAGCGATAAAACGATTCTCATCTTTAATAAATCATAATTATATATATGTGTATATATATATATATATATATATATATATATATATATAATATATATATGTTTTGTGTAAAATGTTTATGAGTGGCGTGTACATGCGTATGTTACGTCCGTATGTCACTTGGTATATTGTGTGTACGTGTGTGCATTGGATAGAAAATTTGGTCAACACTTTCTCTACTCGTTAATTTTATCAAATATAGTATAAGAATATCTTGTATGAATATATAATAAAATGGTTGGTAAATAGTAAATATAATTATTCAACAAGTACTACCGTAATAATAGCAATAATGATTCAGTTGCTTGGAGGTGGGACGGTTGCCGTGAACGCGGTCATATATGCGAATAAAATAAAAAGGAAAATTAGAGGAAATCATTTGAAAAAAAGGAGATCAGTCCTTTTGCTTCGTAATCGTCGATCATTGAGATCGGTATCATCATTCTTAGATTTTCATCAGGAACATAACAGATCTACCGTTTCTCCTGCAGAGCTTATACTTATTCATACTGGTCTCGCCTCCAACAACGTTACTAATAATATTAATAATACAACGTCCGTTAGAAAAGAAGGAAAAAAAACAAAAAAAAAAAGAAAACGAAATATCAGAATGTCAACCACGAACTGAAAATATCTAATATTTTTAACTTTTTGGTTGCAAACTATCCTACACATTACAGTGAGAGCTTTTTTCCCAAAAAATCCAGCTCAGAGATTATGTTATAATGTTCCCCGATGACTTGTGATCGATCACAAGAACGGGATCCGATAGATCAATGTCAGAAGGATATTTTCTCTTTTCTGTGCTGCCTTGGTAAAAAAGAGACACACTGTACTTATTACGTGCACATGTCACGATTCAGTGTTTCCTCAGATGGTTTCTTTCGGTAAAAATATTGAGCTCAAAATTCATAGTAATATTATTATATATATTATACATATAATATATATATGGTAAGCTATCTTACAAAGCTAACCTCGAAAGAATGGGGGCTGGGTATCTTTTTATATTCTAGATCTGCTAAAGTACCTGACGAGGATTCGACTACTAACCATTTCTGTAAACCTGTGAACACTAGGTGTTTGTGCGTGTTCTCTGAATATTTTTACCTTTGCCCAACATTACTTAACTCTCTTCTTAACCCTTGTTGGCTAATAAAATAAAACACTCTTTTTATCCCCAATACGACTTCCTACCTCCCTATAATCCATTCGCATGCAGTACTTTCTCTCTGTCGTCCTTAAAAAGTAATTTCGCGCAACGAAAACGTAAAATAACATTCTCACTTCACACCTCGAATTTTTGTACGTTGTCGGTAGTTTAAGGCCATGACCATTTATTCAATAGCCCGAGGTCCGTCTATCGGCATGGTGTGAAGTACCTCGTCCAAGAGTTGAAGCGCCCGATGAAGATGTACCTGGAATAGTAGAGTATGGTAAATTACATAGCATAGTTAATAAAGAGAGTAAGTTACCTATGCCATCGAGATCTAGCTATAAGCTCACCTCGATCCAACATGGCGTCTCCTTTATACTTTGCCTTGGATAGTCAGGACCCCATCCTTTAACGAAACTCAAACGCAAAATGCAAAGTCGACGAAGATCATCGACCCCGATGCCAGCGGCAGCGCTTAGACTTTTGGTAATAGGTGCTCCATGAGTGAGATGACCCGCGACGGCAGCAGCCTGAGCTGCAGCTGCTGCTTGAGCAGTTGCTGCCTGGCCTCGCATCTGCTTATGACATTGCCGTAGGTCAAAGACTTTTATATAAGCGGAAGGATAAATTTTGTGAACAGCATCGCCAGGCGCACGACCCGCTTCTCTGTCTAGGTAATAGGACTGCACAAAGACACTGTGCTCGCTCTGACATCTTAGCCAAACATCTCCTTCGCCCCGGAGGTCAAGAACAACGCCCTTTCCTATGCAATCAATTATTCGCCATGAATTCTACTGCGATTTACATGCATCACTATTAGAATCCTAACTAACAACTAACCTATGTGAAGTCGAGCTCGTTCACTCTGTTCCGTGCGATGAACGTTGCTCAGCGCACCAAGACAAAATCTGTTGCCCCCGCTGGGATCGACGTATCCATCGATAGTGACAGTAGGACAACCGCTACTCACTTTGAACGTTTCTCCTACCTGAGTATCCAACTCGAAGTAGCCCACGGAGCACCAGTACTCTGGAGCTGGTTGAGTTGACAATAGTCCTCCTATGCTACCTCCGACCTCACCACCATGGCCGCCCCCTGGAACAAATACGGGTGGTCTTAAAACAAGGAAATTACAATACAGCAAGTCCTAGCTTTGCATTCCATGACTTACAATACGATGTGGCATGCAGATGTCGATGATCTGGAGGCTGCATACTCTGTGTGTAGGTAAGAGTATTGGCTCCGGTCCATTGTGGCGCACCAGTGTTGTAAGGGTTTGCTGCTGTGGCGACCGCAAATCCATTTTGATGATGTAAGTGAACCGGTGATACGGGCGAACTCTGACTACCCCCTGCAGGAAAGCAAGATCTTTTTTTGTACACGAATGCAGGTGAACATTTTAGGATGTACCTCGTGGGTGGTTGTAGTTCAGTGATTGGAGTCACGGACTTCGGACCGAAAGGATCGGGATTCATGACACACCAAATGAGTTTTCTCACGAAAATGCAAGTGAATACTCATTTGGATTCCGCTCAACACTGTTTGGATTCAGTGTATAAATTATGTATGTTTACATAGTCCTGTGTATATGATGACCACTTAGTAGACTGTGTCCCTGTCTTATGAACTGCTCTATCTGATCCAATCGGTCCAGTTATTGTCACATATCCTTCTATGAGGATACAGCTTTGAGGAAAGGAAGCATGGAATGTACTATGGAGGCGTTACAGAATTATGTACCTAAGGAAGCTGCTAGAGCGTCAACGCTCGTAGGTGGTTGATTGAGGTCTTGTGGTGGGGTAGCAGTCCCGTAAAATGATTCCGTAGTCTGGCCCTGAGTAGGACTTAAGATTTGTGTACTTCCACTACCGCCGGTAGTGTTCAATGATTGTTGCTGTCCAGATACATTGTGACTCATTGGATGTACAGCAGCTGTAAATAGAGTTTTCAATCATGACGTGCAACACAATGATTTAAAGAGTCGTTTCACAAGGTGCAGTCAAAGAAAATGCGTGCTCCTTACGTTAGATTTTCTCCAAGGTATACAGGGTATATATAGGGTGTACAATATCATTTTTAAATTCTGCAGAAACATTTAATAAAAGCGTAGCCTAATTAGCGAATGCGAAATGAAATAAGAATAAAGGAATAACGATAAGAATGTGAATTAAGAAAAATTAAAAGAAAAAAAACCGTCTTGCTTGTACGTACGATGATGGATATTACGTGTCGAAGAGTGATGAGGCGTGGGAATCCAGGTCTGCCGAGGGCAACTATTATCTTCGAGTTTGGTGCGAGAATTTCCAGTGCCTCCACCACCTCCTGCGGTCCCGCTGCCTCCGCCTACTGGTGCTCCCCCGCCCCCGCCAAACATACCTTCACCACTAGCTGTACGAAATAACAAAAGAAAACGAAAAGAAGAAAATGAAGCATAAATCAAATAAAATTGCGCAAACTGCAAACTAGACTAGCACGATTGCTTTCAATACTTTAGATTAGATTGTACTTGTTTCTTTCAAGTAATGAGATACACCATATGTATCCAATAAATTGTATGGAAACAGTGCTCAAATTGTGTCACTGAAAATTAATGTAGAGTGCACGTTTGATTAACCGTCGTAATAATATTATTACGTACGGTTGATTGCACAATTGCCAAAGATGTTATGAAACGCCAATAGCACTTTTGTGCAAGGATATTCAACGTTCTGGAATATATTCTAGAGAGGAAGCAGAAATTTAAGCGTTACATTGCTACTTATATCATTATGAAATATAGATGCATTTACACAATAGACAGACTGGGTACTACTTAAGAAATAAGACTGCGTAGAGACACAAAATAGAATTTAGAGAGGTTGACTTACCTGGATTTGGTGGCGCCAAACCAGAAATGAAGTTTTGTTGCGTCTGTTGTTGACTATTTGATGCTGGTGGTGGTTGTGGCGGGTGGTGTTGAATCGTTTGATTCATTTCGCCATCAACTTCCATTCCGGTAGATACACCGACGCCGACGCCACCGGTTGCTGCGCTTCCACCGCCGCCGACCGAGTATTCATCCTTTACTAGGCGTCCACCAGGTCCTACACCGACTCCTGATTGCAGGGTCAATCCGGAGAGGTCTGTAAAGAACGGGTCTGTGCCGGGAAACGAACCCATTCCATCATACACCAAGCAACAACGAATAAATTAATTAGGCTAATTAATACAATAAGCGATTACACTTGGAAGAAATAAACAAGACCAAAGACATAATACATAGACCTCTAATTATGTTCTACTCGTGCATAACATTAATTGAAATGATTATGCCAAAGCGATAATTTTGCGGATATTCTTTTGATACATTGAACATTTTTTTATTAATAGTATAAGAGCATACCTATTCCTGGGGATACGACTCTTTCGTAATGATACGGATTGACGCATACTGAGTCGCATTTTAAATCAAATGCAAACTGGCAGTATTTAACGTGCTTTAATTCGTTTTTATGTAAATCTGGCCACCTCCAAATTCGTGCATATATCACGTGAGGAAAACCCTTGCGACCTGCCACTTGTAGCCTACCATCAAGTGTTCTTTGTATCGTCACACATTTACTGGGATGTGCACCATTTGTTGTAATAGCTGTTATAAGACTGTCTAGTTCATCCCGTTTTTCCTATTTTGAAAAATGATATTTTCAGTAACATAAATTCAATATCTTATGTAATAATATAGAAAAAGAATTAAGTACCTTAAGCTTCTTAACCAAAGACTCAATAGCTCGTTTACTGAAACCTTCACTCTCACCACCTTGTCGATGGCACATAAGAGAGTGCACTATACTCAAGCACGCATCTGCACTGGTTGGTGCACTAGGAGCAATCCCAGTCATTTCTCGTACTAGAAATAAAAAGATATATGAAACTTTCTGTGCTTCGTAATATCCTTATCGAAAAAGACATACACTCAGGATTAGGTTGCATCGGGGGCGAGGGATATAGATGTCCTCCCCCGCCCGCAAGTCCAACCATCTCGGTGAAAGCCGTGGCGGCAGCTGTTCGCCTTCTCTAACAGAGAGCCTCGTTTTGCCCTTACGTTCTACCCTGAACCAACCACTCCTCGTACACACTAGCATCTAGTGGCAATACTTGGTTTCCGCATTCCGGCGAAAGTTCGTCTAAATAATAAACATCAGTGAATACAATAATATAAAAAATGTTATATGAAAAATATAATCAGAAAATATTTACCACTATTAATTCAACTTCACTATGCAGACACTGGTGATGGGAAGAACCTTGTAGAAGACGTTTCTCTACATGGAATTATCAGTCGATACTCCAGAAATGTGTTAGAGTTCCTTTTTCGGAGAAAATCAGTGAATTTGCTGACCGTCAAATGCACTTACACTTATCTCAATGTTCACCTCTATGTCTTGTGAAAACAGGAGGGAATCCTCAGATATGTATTCGCATTACTTGCGAAGCTTCCACAAGATGATCTATTGTATACACACTGATTGCACGGCCGTCAAGGCTCGTCGGATAGCGTTCGTTTGTTTGTTGCGATTTTCATGGAAAAACAAAGCCGTGCTGCAAAAATTCTGCGGATTCTATCTGAAGTTGTTTGTAACAGAGAGTACTCCGACCTGTCAACTGTCAATGTATCGAAGAAGACTATTTCAGTATTCGAGATAGAACGAGAGAGAATGAGACACAAAGAGCCTGAACATCGCCAAAAGGAAGTTGGCAATAGTAAGCCCAATTTAAAGAACTTTGTAGCTATGGACGCCATTAGAAACAATCGGATGTATTCATAAATACATCCCATGTCTACTGCGATACTTTGCTGTCTTCTGTACATCATTGCACGTGCTGTTACTTTATCTATGTTTTTATAATCTCTCGAGACATCTAAGCATATTCAAGAAGTTGTAACCGCCATTGGATATAATTTCTGCGAATACTAGCTCATACTTCCGGTCGTTCCATTTAATTATACAGACATGCAGGACCATCTTATTAGAACAAACAATACGTGGCCTATTAGGCAAATCGAATTCTATGAATCAAATAATTCCCACAGATTTACCTCAAAAAATGGTGAAGCGCTTTGTATGAGAGATGTTGTGGGTATACACTTTCAATACATAATATGAGATTTTTATTGTCACGTTTAAATAAGATTGAACTTATCTATTTCGGGTGAATGCTTTTATATTTTATTTAAAATTGTGGAACATAGTGCATAATGAAAACGATTTTAGGGGAATTTTTTAATTCTTTATGCTGAAGAGACTATTCTTGGAACAATTCCAATAGGGCCTGGAAGTAACGTTACCGCATTTTATACTGGAGACTGTATGTCTTTCAATGAAACCCAGAATGTAAGGGATATACATTTACTTTAATTAAATATCACCTTAATACTGTTCACGTTTTTCAGAACATTGAGAAAACTGTGAAGATACAACTTTCCGGCTCACAGGAGGATGTTCGGAACTTTGTTTTCCGCATTCAACAATGTATAAATGTCTCGAGAACTGAAGAACATGATGAAATTTCAAAAAAACATAAAATTGCAGAATTACTGAAAAACAATCCTATGGGCGCCATTACGGGTTCGTAGTACATAAGTATTTTTATAGTACTCAACATAAAATTGATCGCTAATCATTTTTATCTGCTGAAATTTACAGACGTGAACCCGATGTTACCAATGAATTATCCTTTGGAAGATGCAGTCAAGCTTTGCTTGGCAGATCCTAAATTTCCTGCGTTAGTAGAAAATGTTTCTCAAGTTTTAAAGCGTCTAGCACAATCAGGGACGCAAACTGGATACGAAGTATGAGAGTTCTTTATTATTTTTACAACAGCTTTGTTATTTAGCTTTAATTTCTGTATAAAAGTCAACAAATTCGTTGTTGAACAAAGGTTTACTATAAATGGAATTGAGATACACTTCGAATTCATTCTTTGCAAAGTAATGTCGTCCAGATGATTTCTTTGCCGGCGCCTTTTTCGGTACTGGCACTGCGGGTTTAAAGACAACGCCAGCAGGATCATATTCTTTGAACAGTTCTTCCGGTGATCTATAACATTAAGGAAGTCAAATGTTTTTACATCAATATTTATGGTAACAAACTGGCTGACTCACAATTTTGCAATATCCGCTGTTAAGCTTCCTTCCCCACTGGTCGGTACACCATTGGCTATGTTCTTTGCCAATTTTTGTACCACACTATGATAATGCCGCTAAAAATAAGATATAAACCAAGACATAATGAAATCTGAATATCATTCGGCCAGTATACGGTGTATTCTGCATTTACCTGTAAAGCCGCGAGTTCCCACAGTGCTGTGCAATGCGCGTTACAGTAGTCCGGTTCTTCTAATTCAGGTTGATAAAAACCATCCCCGGACGTGCTGTCTGTGTCCAATAGTATGTCCGCAGCTTTACCAAGTTGCATGACTACTTTAATTACACCGAGTATTCCGAGGGACCCATTATGCTGCAATTGTAGAGATAACGTGGCGATACGTTTGATAAAAGCGATCAAACGACTTTGCGACACTTTTTTACGTCGGGTTATTAAAACCTGAACTAAGGTTTGCACAATTATTTCTGCATTGGCGTGATTTTTGCCAGCGTTAACGTTTAGCAGATTTTTGTACAGATGATAATAGAATCTGCACAAGAATAAGAGACAGTGAATTTCGTTCAACTTTATTTTTTTACCAACTCTTTAGTAAATACTCACTTGTAAGGATCAATGTTCAGAGCTGAACCCTGTCCTGATAATATTATAAATACTGTTTGGATACAGTGTAACTGCTCTCGTAGTCCCAAGTTGCCTTCTTCCATCAACCGATTTAAAACATTTACCAAGTCTTGATAAAACTCAAGATTGATACAATGTGCAAATCTAAATGACGAAACATGAATAAATGAAATTGAAATATCAGCAAGATTATGATTATTCAATTATATCGTATTGGCTCACTTGGCTAATCCTTCCAATGTTACTGATAAAATTTTACTGTTCGGTGCCTGCTTCAGTACTCTAAAATAAATCGTGAAAACTATGCTAGTTATTTCCGTGAGAACTTTTTCTTTATTTTGCTTATTTTCCTCGGCTTTGGTTTCCAGCATTTCTTTCTCGACTTGTTCTAATTTTTTATTTTTCTTCCGCTCTCGTTTGCTAAGTGCGAGAATTCTCTGTTTGTGCGTCATGAGCTTCTTTTGTTTCGCTTCTTCTTCTCTTTCTTTATCCAAATTTACGTCCTTTATTCGGAGGGACAAGAGGACTGACAATATTTCAGAATGGACCGAGTGACCACGTGCTTTTACATATTGATTGATACGTCGTACTATCTGTAACGTCATAAATTCGGAAGAAAATAGTTAAATTAAAACTGTAAATAAAAAATATCAGATTAGAATTCTAGAACGTACGGATAGAGACAATTCGCCACGTTTATCTTCTTTAAAGATTTGTGAGATGCAGCTTGCAACAGCTGCTCTTATGTTTGGCCGTTTGTTATCCATTAGCGGAATCAAAAGATTTGCTATGTTGACAGCAAAGTTAAAATATGGATGACTGACTAATAAATCGCACATACAAGTCACTGCAATTTCTCCCAATTGCATTTCTCTTTCACTGATGTTACGCGTGTCACCTTTCTTTTGGCGTAGCCAACTTGCCATTTTTTCGAGTTTCTGTAAATATTTCTTATAGCTTCTTAGCAAGATGGCCTCATAATTTTGAAGTTGCAGCGTTTCTTTCTTTACTGTAATGTATTATTTGTATGATTAGAAAAAAGTATTTGCGCTGAAAATGATAAACATGACATTGAATATTGAATTCTCATACATCTTACACCCTCCTGCTCGAATTGTGTTATATGATACGAAGGCAGAAGATCTTTAAAGACTTCTAAGAGCGATACAGTTGCCAATTTTCTGACAGTTATGTAAACCTCTGGATTGCTCTCCTCCATTAATTCAAGCAGCACTTTAAAATTGCCTGATTTAAGTTCTGGATTTTCCAAAAGTCCACTGGACAGGACGCCAATCTTAAAACGTCGGGACCTTAACACTTCTTCTCTGCAAGCTAGTAATTCTGCAGTCGAAATAACTTTGTCTTTTTTTTCATTTATCTTGTCCTATGTTGTAACAAGGATAAAAGTTTTTTTAATTATTCATATCATTATTCTCTTAAAAAGAACTTTCACAAACTTTTACCTGAATTTCAAACTCCATCTCAATTTCTTCATCGCTATTATTAATTTCTCCATTTTGATAATTTTCTTTATTGTTATACACTGAATCACCATTAATCTCTTCATCTTCATTATCCTTTCTATCTTCTTCAATGACACGTGTCTCTATAAAACCATCTTTTGTCTTCACAGGTAGTAGCATACGTAATTTTTTTCCAGCTTCCTCTGCTCCTAACTCTGTACTTTTTTCATACCTTTCTTCTAGATCTTCTTCCTGTTTCTGTTTCTTTCCTTTTCTTCTTTGCTTGCTCTCATCTGTTCTAAAACGACATACAATATACAAGTCTCCCCTATAGCATACATAGTAAAACATGCAGATGTTATATGCAGTGACATACTCATTAAACCGTATTTGTTTCAAAAGATTATAAGACTTATTTGATATAGCCTTCTTGAGGAATGTAAGATCATCCTCCTCAACCATAGCCATCATATCTTCTCCATGATCGCTTTCTTCTTCCTCTTCTTCATGTTGCGGCTTGGTAACGTTAGGTTTCTGAACTTGTTTCTTAATTTTACGGTGTCGCCTAGTTTTGAGTTTACCTTGTTTTGATAGCTTAGTTCGTGTCTGATTATTTCTTTTAATCTTACTAATTTTTACCTTCCCTTGTTTCTGTTGAATATACGAAAAGTTTAGAAGTATATATGATGTAGGTTATCTGAGCTACTTTTAGATATATTTAAATAAGTATACGATTGGTGCATGACAATATTAAATCGATAATTACCCCCATTTTATGTGATACTTTTTTATAATCCTTAAAAACTTTAATTTAGTTAATTATTTCGATTACAATGTGAATAAAAGATTCTAGTCACAACACACAAGAAACACGTGGTTTAAGCACGTTGTTTTACTGTGATAGCGTTGAGGCCGCCAGTGTAGGAAATTTTGAAAGATGGATAACAATGGTGAACAATGCCATATTGTATTAGTATGGTATATAATAGATAAATTGTTAATGTAAATTTATTGGCTCTTTGGAAACTAGCAATATATAGTTATATACTAATAATATAGAGTTACTGTAAAGCTTATATGAAAACGGTCGTCTTAATTAATACTATGATCTGTAAAATACTGAATATTTACACTGTAGACTTGCAGTGTGTTTGTACATTATTTTTATTCGGTAATATTCATTTCTAATTTGTTGTGTTTGCTGCTACTTTTACTGGTGCTTTATTACTGTTGTGTCTAGGAATCTTAGTTTTTTTCTGAATCATACAATCTTGTACTAAATTGCTTTTTCCCAATCCTGTCGGTTCCTTGACAATTGAATTTACTGGACTTGTGCTTTTTCTACCAGACTGACTAACCACTTTGGAGTTCAAAAGCGCAGAATTCGAAGGTTCAGACATATTAAGTCCTACTATCTTGGATGAAAATTTTTTCTTCGAAAGTGTTTGGATTCTTAATGGAATTCTAGACTTGAATACTTCTGACTTTTTTTCTGCTGTCAAGCCCTTTTGAGATACTTTTTGTCTCGATTCTCTTTGAACTGCCTTATCAGTAGGTTTTTCAGAACCGTCTGGTACATCCATGACCTTCAAGAGTCTCTCACACAACTCATCAAGAGAAGTACCACTTGTGTCTTGCGTTGCTGAAAATGTAATGTCATCCTTTGATGAAGGTTTAACGTTTTCTTCATCAACAGTATCTTCTCCCACCTCAGTAATTTCATCCACCCTTGTTCCATGATCCCATGAAACATAGTTGAGTAAAGTTATTTCATCAGCCGATCTTATTCTGACCGTAAAACGTTGAGGACTCTCCTGAGGTTCAGGCGTGCGTGGCTCGGGTGTACGGAATTCAGGATTCTGGAAACCAGATATACGTGGTTCAGGAGTATTTAGTTCAGGCGTTAGAAAACGACTATCCCGCTCCTTCATATGATCCCACTTAATGGGATCGATTATCAAATCTGGTATTTGTGATCCAGCGATTCTAGTATTCTTTCTAGCAGTTCGCATTGAGTCTGCATAATTTGCAGATGGTGAAGAACAACCTGGATTTCCGGTTTCTTCGTCATGTTGACCATTGTCTTCCCAAAGGGATTGCAAAAATTGATTCCTCATATTCGTTAAACAGCTGTGTGTCGACTCGTTTTTTTCAATATTCCAAAATGCAGTCTCATACGTTGGAATATCAGGAGGAGACACACTGGAGGATCTTCTCAAACTTTTAAAACGTGAAACAGTTTTTGGCTGTCGTTGATTTCCGGTTGCAGATATACCATGATGATGATCATCAACAGTATTCTGGATCTGAGTGTTACTTTCTTCTACTTGGTTTTTTTCATAAAGACCTTTCAAGTAAGAAACATTGTCTTTAGAGAATTGCCGAATATAGTCACGTCTACGTTCATGTTCACTAGTTGCTGCAAAGCTCATTGACCTGTTAATACTTCGACGACTGAGGCCAAAAGTTTCCTTGTCTTGCGTTAAATCTGTTCTTATATCCGTCACCTCGGATCCTTTAAGCTTATAAATAATCGATACTGGTTGATTCTGTTCAGATTTTACCCAATCAGGAATAAATGGTTTTTTCTCCTTTACTTCGATGTGTTCAGCTTGCTCGAATTTATTTCGATTCGTGAGGAATTTCCTTCTATGCTCATGATACTCTTTCAATTGATCATCTTTGTTGGCTTTAGGTTCCATTGCATTGGCTCGTCGTACAATCTCTCTTATGTTCTTTCTGATGTTCTGCAATAATTATAAATATTTCAGTCTGAATCATACAGTGTAAATATATAAATTCCGTACAGATTCGGTGTTATATGACATTTCCGAGATGGCAACTTATAATCTAGTGTTAACTGTTTCAATTTTTTTACGAACACCTGATATTCTTATCTAAAGAGATAATAGCGAGAAGCCATGAAAATAAAGTTAATTACCGTAATATCTTCGGACATGATGATCCATTCGACAGTTGGGTATTGGTATTTAGATGAAATCACTATATGCTCTATGTAACAATTTCTTTTAAAAAAGTAAACTGAAGTACAGAACACCACTGAGAACGAGTAAAACGATCGTAACGACGATGTCTTGGCTCGATATTTCTGACATAAATTAATACAGATTTTTACTGATAAGTGACGTTCTATCGAGGTTTAGGAAGAAGGGTATATCTTATCTTCGAATCGCATTTGATCTTCGATTATCTGAAACTTTTACTAATACAGTAATTATATACATATGTGTTACATAGATATGCGTGTATGAGAGAACAATCAAAATATACAGAAAATGACATGTTCCGTGTTTTTGTTAAGATTCTTTTTTTACTTTTGCTATTGTATTTTCGTATTACCCTGCTTCAGGACTAGCTGAATCGTCACCAGGAAGCCGTAATAAAACATTAGACTGATCAAACATATTTTTTTCAAGAGATTCCATGGTTAACACACGATAAACTATGTCCATTATGCATAAAATATAACGTAACGTCAAATATCATATCAACAATATGCATTAATTGTCTGTTGTGTTATTCCAATAAAAGAACAGTCTTCTGGTTATATCTGTTTAATGCCGTTCGTGGAATTCTGGTTGAGAAGTTGGTGCAACGTTAACTGGACACGCAGCTCAACGCACGCGTCTTTCTCCTCTATGATACTCCTTATCAAGGTCGTCATTTTCTTCTACGTAACAGAAATAATGTTCGTTGACATAGTATCTTAATAAGGTTGAGTAATGTTTGTCAGAAAATTAGAACGTACCTCCAACAATTGATTTTCTTTTACCAGTTGAATCATGGCTGTCATTTCTGCTTCGTTCGGCGAATGCGTCCTTATTTCTTTCGGCTTGGGTTTCTCGGGTCCCTTTTCAGCTAGCATTTCGACCAATCTTTTGATTTCGTTTTTTTCCTGCATGATACGAGATTTCATCAAGGCCTGCATGTTCAACAGTTCCTCTCGGATAAGACTTTCACGCAGCTTTTCCATCGCGTCCTCTGGGGTAGATTCAGCTACTGGTATCGTAAAGGAGTCTTGTTAATAATAAAAATTTTATCAGTGATAACTTGTTATTTGAGACTTCATTATTTACCGGCTTCATTTTCCTTTGTAGATTCGGTGTTGCTTTGTTCGGTTGTTACTTCTGCAGTATCTACTGTGTCCTTGCCCTGTGGTAAAGGTTTCGCTTCTTTCTTCAGAGTTCCAGCGTTAGAAGCTATTACGGTTGTCAGCTGAGATTTCTCCTTGGCATCGTTCGTGTTTCGTGTCGCAGGATATTTTTTTATTACCGAACACGATGGATTTTGAGATTCACTTTTAGACTGCACGAAATCCTCCTCGGAGGCAGTCTTTATTCTCTGAAGATTCAGGTCTATTTGATTCTCGTCGTTTGACTTTACTTCCTCGTCCAGGCTCTTTTGCGCAGACCCTTCCAATTTTTGAACGGTCTTGTATTTCCGCTGTAAATCAAAAGTCATCCGTAGTATTTCCATCGTCTTAAATCATTTATAATATTAACAATCGTAAGATTGTTACCTTCAACTGCGTAATCATCCGCTGCACTTCCCACAATTGTTCCTCACGCGACTTGGTCACGAAGCCGGCATTCATCTGCATGTGAATCTGAGAGAGAAGGGATTCCTGCTTGGCCAATTCGGCAGCTATACTCTCGACGGTATCCGGCAGATTTGTGCTACCGGATGCTAGTGGTGGAATGTACTTGGTCAGCCGGACGTTTGGATGTAAAGCTTTACAGTGAAATAATAAAGCTAAAAGTAAACGGTGGCTCATCTGCAGGACGGGACTCAGTGTCATTGCGATCGTTTGAGCGTTCATTTTTGTTGTTTTTTCCTGTAAACGTTTCACCAAGTAAGAATCTACTTTGTCTCTTTTCATCTGACAAACTCACACGCGCAGTAACATGATCCAAGTGCAGTGTGACCCACGCTAGGAGAACTCTATTACATTCTGGTAACTGTTGAGTCAGCTGGACCAGTTGTGCTTCTCTTTGAGACACTTCCTTAGTAGAAGCAGCCTGTTCGAATCGGGATATTGTTTCGCTGTTCTCTAGAACGGGTTCTGGTAGTTCCCTAAGTGAATGCAAATAAGAAAATGCTAATGTCTGGTTCGATATTTTTTTTTTAACATTTCGTTTGCTTTACCTGAGAAAGAGTATTAATAGGCTTGTGGCTACTGTAGGCTCAAATTCTGAAATATTAACGCTTTCGCGTTGATTGTAGAATTTCTTTAGAGATTGAACTTTTGATTTGACTCCAGGAACTTTGTACAAGCCTTCTACGTTCATGCCATACTCTTCCACGTAGTCGATACAATCGCGTACGACCAAAGGCAGCTCTACGCCGTCGTGGCATCGACTTCGCTCCACAGCCAAGTGCAAACTGACACCGAATATAGGTTGTTCGTCTAAAATGATGCGGAGTATGGTCAGGTATACAAAATTAAAAAGTAGTGAAGTATTAGGACATACCACCGATATCTAGAACTTCTTCTCCGCCATGTTTTCCTTTCTTACGATCCTTTAATTTCTGCTTGGATTTATCTTTTTCCTTATCTTTCCGCTTTTCTTTCTCGGTGTCCTTATCTTCCTTGTCCCGTTTCTTCTTGTCTTTCTCCTTTTCCAATTCTTTTTCCTTTCCATCCTTCTCTCTAGACTTTTCACGTTTCTCTTTCTTCGAAGGGAACTTGAAAGCTTTCGTCTTCTTTGACTTTGACGGACTCCTAAAATAATTTCTACTTGTAAATTGCTTCAGACGACACTTAATTCTTGAGAAGTATATGAGTTTAAAAAACAAATACAAGGTAATTGAGATTGATCCACGTAGCAAAGTAATGCCATTTTCCAATCCTATCTACGCGCGTATACTATTAAAACTTGGACAATGAAGTATAAGTTCATTATATAAGCCACAATTAGGATAATCAAAAGCACAAAGTCACAAAAACTTGTAACTAAACTGTTTTCTGACATCTATGACAGTAGAATATGTATTCAAGTGACAACCAGGTAGTTAGTGCAACCTTGTTCAGGCCTACGGGTCTGAATATAGAAATTGAATCACAAAGAAAAAAAAAGTCAAGGGTATAAGTAAACCTAATTATGAGGCATGTGCTAATAATACACTAGGGATTTATTACATGCTAACTCTTTCTGGTTTGTTTGGATATGCAATTTCTATGGAGGCAGAACCCACAGCAAAGTATATTTAAACCGCTACTATGGTCTTTAAATAAAAATATTAAAATATATATATATGGCCCTAATATTTTAATACAGAAAAGAGTTTGAAAAATCTTGTAGTACTTAGTTTCTTGCTCTTCGTCTGGTGAGCTTTCCCCTTCTAACGTAGCATAGCCTCGATCCTTTCTATCTTTCTTCTCCTTTCGTTTCCCACCTAAGAGTTCCTTTTTGGAATGTTTCTCGTGTCCTCCTTCATCACTAACTGTGCAAAAAAAGGATAATTGAAAAATAAATAAGAGTAAGATGATTACTCAGATTCAAATCTTACAACCTTGTATCAATTAAAAAATTCATTTAAACAATTCGATAACCTTAAAGAGTATAGATTCATTCAATAATTATTTAATTATGAGTTTTATCGTCAGCATATGAATCATGCATCTATATAAGGCTAAGTTAATAATCATTTATGTTCATCATATAAGACTGATGTACCACTGACAGTACTGTAACCCTCATGCTATTTATTTTTGGAGTAATAAATCTGTTATTCCAATTTCAAACCAAGAGGATCTTACAATCGCTCTCATTGCTCTTCCTAGCCGATTCCGAAGCGTATAGTCCCGGAAACTCTTTCTCTACGTCCGGGCTTTCAAAGTCCATCGCCGTACTTCTTGACACTTCACCTAAAATTTAGCACGGTTAGGTTGGATGCCTGCTTTTGTAATATTTATGGCAGTTTATGGCCCATTACAGGGCTACGTCCCTGCCATCTGTTTTCACGAATTCAGGCAGACTAGGAATCTTACTGAATTTGGTGGTAAGAATTGAACAACAATCTTGACAAGTGGGTAACTACTGACGGTAATAACTAACGATTCATCAGCCATGTCGTAGATTGTCATATCTTTTATGAAAGATGCACTAAAGTACTGCAAATGTCACTTTTGTTTTAATTTTTTGTCTATTTGTATTTTTAAAAAATAACTGACTCTCATCATGGTTGACACAACCTATTTTCGATCAAACAGCTAAAAATGTCTTAACATAAACGAACAACTCTTTCGGCATCCTTCAAAATTTCATAAATAATGATATCTGACTAAATCTAAATGGCACTTGTCTCGCATAGCCATACTAATATTCAAATTACTTTAAACTTTATTTAAACTAAGTCAAAATTTTGTGGATTCAATTATCGAAATTAAAGATAAAAATTTCAAAGTAACGAGCATGTCGAAATCTGGAGAAATAGTTACCGTATTCGTGGGTCAAGCCGGGACTCAAATAGCGAACGCGTGCTGGGAATTATTTTGCCTGGAACACGGAATCAGACCTGACGGTTTTGTCTATCAGGGCTTCGAAGTTGTAGACAAATCCTTCCACACTTTCTTCGCACCTTCCCAGGTATAAAACATATGCCTCAGTGCTTTAGTGTTCAGAGTGATACCAATTGATTTTCAGATTGGCAAACTAACGCCCAGAACGGTAATCGTAGACTTGGAACCAACGGTAATCGACGAGATTCGTACAGGTGCTTATAGATATCTTTTTGACCCGTCGTGTCTGATTACCGGCAAGGAGGATGCCGCCAATAATTTCGCAAGAGGTTATTACTCAATCGGCCAGGAAGCCATTTACTTGGTCTTGGATAGAATTCGCAAGGTTGCTGAAGCTTGTTCAAAGCTCGCCGGTTTTATTGTCTTCCGGTAAAACAAATTCAATATTTCTATTAGGTTCTTGTCCGTACTAGATTCTTTTCTGCGCGTATTCTACAATGCTTCGCGTGCGAATACGGGCAATGGATCTCATCTGTGGCTCTAGATATCCCAAAGATATTGATACAATTTTGAATATCCTTAGAGTACACGTTAAATCCCACAAGATATTTGTTCTGTGAAATTCATTTGTATATCATACATTGTACATATAACAAAGGGTCTGGAGTTTATAGATCTTTTGGCGGAGGAACGGGAAGTGGATTTACAACCCTCCTGCTCGAGCATCTCACGTCTGATTACGGGAAAAGGACAAAATTAGACTTTGCTGTATATCCTGCGCCAAATATATCCACAGCAGTTGTTGAACCTTATAATTCGGTCCTCACTACTCATGGTACTCTGGATTACGAAGATTGTTGCTTCGTCGTAGACAACGAAGCACTCTATGATATTTGTGCTAGGTAAATGAAATTAGAAATAGTCATAATACAAGAGCCTAATAAGATCATGGCTTTAATAATTTCTTTTTAGAAACTTAGATGTCACCAGACCCACCTATACGAACTTGAATAGACTAATGGCACAGGTGGTGTCCAGCATAACGGCGTCACTGAGATTCGATGGCGCAATTAATGTCAATCTCGATGAATTCCAGACGAATCTAGTTCCTTATCCGAGAATTCATTTTCCTTTAGTAACATATTCACCCATTGCAACAGCGCAGAGAGTTATGAACACGCAGATGTCAGTCTCACAAATTACGTATGAATGTTTCGAGCCAGCAAATCAGGTTCGAATCTGGTATATTTAAGAATTTCCTAGTTAACCATAGTTTATTATTATTTTATTATTACCGCAAACTCTCAGAACTTTTTATAAGAAGATCTCATGACTCTATTAGAAGTTATCATTCGTTTATCATACTCGCGTATCTGTTGACTTTTTTTTTCTCAAACAATTTCCTATTCTCCGCGTATTTACGTGGAAAGTTTTCTGCTGCAAACTAGGAGGTTATGTCATTTTCAGATGGTGAAGTGCGATCCACGAATGGGAGGCTACATGAGTTGCTGTCTTCTCTATAGAGGAGACGTTAATCCAAACGAAGTAAATCGATCCATTGCGTCCCTAAAGGGCATGAGAAGTATACGCTTTGTAGATTGGTCCCCTACAGGATTTAAGGTACCATTCTCCTGTTAATAACATTCTGAAGACGCAAGTTTGATCCCTTTATGCACCCTTAACATAGGTTGGAATCAATTATCAACCTCCGCTTACTGTCCCGGGTGGAGACCTGGGAAAGACTATGAGGTCGGTTGTGATGCTCAGTAATAATACAGCTATCAGACATGCTTGGGCCAAAATTGGTCATAAGTTTGACTTGATGTACAAGAAGAGGGCCTTTGTCCATCATTACGTAGGGGAAGGAATGGAGGAGGCTGTATTTCAGGACGCGCGGGATGACATGGCCGCTCTTATTCAAGACTACAAGGAAGTAGAAAGCTGATACCTCTATTATCATCTCTCCCGTTTTAATTTGACGTACCACCTAAACACAGTCTATATTAATATTTATAATGCCGTCTGAAATAATCCAGTGCAATAATCGAGCTCGCTGTTCTTTTCCACACTGTAATATTCCAGGCCGTCAAAATAATCGCATATTATATAAATATGACCACGAACTCTGAAGTGGGGCGATTAAAAAATTTAGAGGGGGCGATACATGTATTTCACTATACGAGTAAGTCGTTTGATAATTAAATTCGTTAATTAACGTAACTGTTCCTTCGTACAGCACAAAATATTTAGATACGTTTTAAAAACATTGCTTAAACATATCAATGTGCTGGTTAAGATTTCGCAATCTTTTCAAAACATATCTATATGTTTTGTGTTATATGGATACGCCGGTGAGTCTATTGAGTGATAAGAAAATGCGCGCCGTCGCTGCAGACTTACTGGCATCAGAAGTTCGCCGATAACATCGCTGAGACTTTTCGAGGAATCTTTTATTGTCTCTTGATTCCAGGAGGATCGGATAAATCAACATGATAATAGCTACTTAAGCTTCTTACAAGAACCTTTTGATCATCCGCAAACATCATGTACCATGGGCCAATTTCAATGCCGTTTGATTCATCGTCTGGCCAAGCAATCTCCGTTTTCAAAAGATCATGTCAAAATACTGGAAGTCGATAACGACGTGGCAAACTTTCCGAACCCAAGTGACTTTCTCTACTGGTCCAATTGGTCTTGATGATTTTTCAAAGCCTCCGAGCTTTCTCTGGAAAAGAATAAAGTGAAAGGAAACAGTCGTTATTATGCCAGCAGAATGACTATAACGATGACCCCAGCGAAGAAACAAATGACAAAGAACAGTCATGCCGTTTATGATTACAGTACGATGATATCACGGTGTCAATAATGCACTGGGACTTTGGGCTAGTGTCCTCAGATACACTGTATGTACATTTAATGGTCTCATGCTTGTGATAATTAATGTTAGTATGTAAAGTTCGCCTTATTTCTATTTAAGGAATGGCTGGTACAATACTCAACTTTTTGATATCAAGATAAGAATGCCTCCTCCGTGCTCTCTGGCAGTCCCGCGAAGTCACCGTGATTCCATTACATGCAAGTTTCACGTGAAGATCAACCATGAATTCTTGGCACCACCGCTGCTCCCTGTGTCGAGTGCGACAAGATCATTTTTTTAAATTCACGTCAATTGCCATACGTGACCTCCTGAACCTGTAATCATATGGATCAATCATACGGCTACTTTGTAATTAATGAGAATCATAATAGCCCCGCTGATCAACGATTTGAATCTTTTATTTATTTTCAAATTCTATTCAAGAATTTTATATATTATTACAAATTACTTTAGTAATTATAACTGATGTGTGCGACTCTTTATTATCATTCTGCTTTGTATCTGCAAATGCCTTATTTCTGATGCGTTCACAATGCACGCCAGTGGCTCGTGATTCCTTTAAGAGGAAGAAGTACGTGGTTACTGAACGATGTACGTAGCTTAAAGAAGTAAAATGCAACTAGATTGAGTTTCATGACTAATTGTGAAAAACTCTCTTGTTACGACGTAGAAGCATCTTGGTCCAGGCATTAAGAATTCCAAGCAGCCATGCATTGAGCACGCGCATCATTGTCAGTGTAAACAGATACAACTTGCTGTAATGTAGTAGAGACGCAATATCGTACAAAGAGTAATTGTTATCATACGAAGATGATGTAATTAACGTTTCTCACAATTTTGATACTCGGACGTCAATCGATCTCGATGACGAACAAAGTCACGAATTGCGTTACTTATTTGTTAGCTATTTGTTTCAATAGTAAAATTGCGTACAGAGTCTTTATTATATCAGATTACAAGAACAGTTTTCGAGACGCATAAATTCAAATCTATATTATATCATAGTATTATTAATCGAATATAGTGTATACCGATTGCACAAGTGTCGCGTGTATCAGTTTATTAATCTAAATTCCAATTACTGGAAACTTAAAAATCTTTGTTCTTACCCGCGCGAACTCCTCGTCCCCTCCTTGCTTTCGCTACAATCGTTTAGACTGCTTAGGGTATCTGGGAGGCGGCGTGGAGCATTGTGAGTGACGTGAGACGTTCATTATCGTGTCTCGTGACGTCGAATTTATCGTATAAAACACCCCAGAGGTTCGAAAATTCTTCAGTACCACTGTTCACTCGACACCGATACGAATGAAGAACACTTAGGAGTACTCTTCAACTTTTTTAAAAATTCGACATCAGAACCATCAGGTTCTATTCCAACGTCTTGTCATTTCGTCCTGTGTGAACTAGAAGTTACTCGCAAAGGTAATATAAATTAATCAGTTACATCTTTGTACGTTTCATTTGGGATTACTGTATAGCTTGTAAAATGATGTCTTTGACTTTTTCTTAAGTCACTTAGACTGATATTTTTATTTCCTTTTCATCACAGATGCTGATCGGTGGTGCTGTAAGCTACGTCGCTGGAAAGCAGGCGGTTCGCACTGTCTACTGGAGAACTGGGGGCAATGGACGTCTTCTTAAGACAGCCAAGACCTGCATGTTCCAAGGGCCGCCAAAACCAGCGCCATCCTCGACCTCTGCATTGGTTCTTCCATCCTTTTCTGCTCAGTCAGCAGTACCTAGAGTGATTTTCTCAACTAAGAACTAAACTGTCATTTTCATACTGAGACTCATTTGAAGATGTATAAAATGTTGAGCCTTGTACATAATTATTAGAGAATAAGTTCTCCAAATTGTGTGAAATGACATGACATTGGAATAAACCGGATATTTATTTTCACTACATGCCTCTCAATTGTCATTCCAAAATATTCCCATTACAAATTCGAAATAATCAAGTGACCTTGCAATATCGTATATAATAAAAGCGGAAGTACATTATGGGAGTCAGAAAATGGTTTCCTGAAACGTTCTTCCAGTGGGTCAAGTCGTCTCTTGGAAACGATCAATACTCTGCAAAGCCTTTATTGAAAACGCAACAGAAGTAGAATTTACGTTTATAAATCTTCTCTAAACAAATTGAGCCTTCGTTACCATCGAATCCACCAAAATTTTGTTCGATTATTGGAGGCTGTGGATTGATATAATTACCTATATATAGATCAGCGAGGTTTCAATAGTCAAAGATATTGATTATTACTGGTTGATTATTTATAAAAGTGAATTACCTGCATGTCAAGAGCCAGCGTTCACGAGCTGATTTTATCTTTACATTGACTATTCAAAAGTCCCGCTCTACTCAATGAACAATTTCCAGTGGTATTGACAGACTGCAAATATTTTCTGATAATTCACGACCTGGGTTACCATTGCTGTTATCCACGTTGCGAAAGAGTACATTCTTCATTTGAATCACGGAGTCTCGTCTTGCTTCTGACAGCTCATGCAGAGCCTTCACCTATTTTCACGTTCCACTAGTATAATTCCACTAAGGTGTCAAAATATCATATCGCGTTGCTTGTCCGACGAATTATCATCACAGACAGCCTACCTGAACCTTGTCCATTGTTTCTCTTTCAGGAACAGGAAACTATGTGGCAGATTATGCCGAATCTACAATTCAGCAAATCGTCCAGCCGAAATACGAAATATTTGAAGGTTATATTCCTCTATTCATTAAACGTCAGTTATCCGTGATATATGAATTGGGAAAAAATACAATTGAGGGAAATGGCGTTCGACGAAATGACGAATGACGTACAGTGAAAAACTCAATAAGGAAAAATGAGGTCTGGCTATTTAATTTTTCGATCTGATAACGATTCGGTGAATTTGCAATTCGACGCAATGACATGGCATCTAGGAAACAGAATGACTTATTGATAAGAGAGATTCGAGTCTGCCCAGACTAATCCAATGTTGTTGGATGCCATTTTTTGAAGATTTCACAGTAAATGTATGCATGACCTCAGAGATACTGAAACACAGACTGACACTTGTCAGTCTGAATGTCACTGTCAGGAATTTCGATTAACTTGAAAAAACGTAAATATATTAGAAACTATTATGTCATCGGCGAACAGGCATCAGAAATGCATGGGTCAGTCTTTATCCTCATAGTCCCTCTTGGATCACATAGCGATCACGTGAGAAGCGTGCCACGAGAGATCTCTTTTATCTGTGTAATATACACAGTAAGTACATACTGTGCCATAACGTCGCTGGAGTCCGTAGAGACTATGTGATTAGTATTAAAAGATAGCGTTATCAGACTCACGAGTGGCAAATTCCTGGATTGAGTTTCTGTGTATGCTCGGTGGGATCCTAACCGATTAAAAAATAAGCAAAATGATTCCATGTAGTAATCGCGTTCTTGGAGAAACTAGAAACGCGTGCATTGCCTGATCAAGATTAGAGCGACGGGATCGTAAATGCTTTCTGTTGTCAGAAACAGGCATGATTTTGTATTTTCTACAGTGTCGTGATGCATTTAACGATTCAAGATGGCGATTTGCTTCTGGAGACGCCGCAGTTACAGTGATCGATAGATCATGTATAAAAATCAGTCACAATTTCAGCAAGTATATACAGCATGTATTCTTTGCATCTACTGAGAAGCGAAGACGATTGTTTTTTGATAACCATAATATCTATGGATTACAGATTACAATGGCATGTAGCCGTAAACAGCAATGCATGTCAGAGAAGCGACTTCATGTGGATGCATCGCTGACTATGTCCACTCGCGATGAACCGTATGCATACATGGAGGGCGGCAAGCGCCGACACTGGGGTCAATGGAAGCTCTGGAGGGTAACGCGTAGAATGTATATATGGACTTTTTACGACGTCAATCAATGCGATACGCTACGATAAAGTGACCTGCACAGCTGGCACCCTGGGTCTCGATAAGACAACGCGGATATGTTCCAGGTCATTGGGCTGGATCTGTAGTTGTTAGGATGTGACAGTCACAAAGGGCATCTTCCAGTCTACCAATAGGAGCAGCTTAAAGGTCTTGAGGCTGTTCCGTAGGGATGTGGGTCGTCGTGGAGTAAACAGCTGTCTCATAGGGCAGCAGCCTTCGCTGTGCCCTAGTTCAGCTTACGGCGAAGGGCGATGAGAATGTCGAGAAACGGGTCAAGGTGCTGCTGATATTGAGGCGCCGAGGGTTCAAGCCAGCACGACTAGGGTTTCTTTGGTGGGCTGGCAGGTAAGTGGTTACATTTAGTAGAGAGGAAGCTGCCTCTCGTACCACGAATGAACTTTGTACTGGAACTGATTGCGTAGAACTTTTATCTTAGATTCAGGTTTGCGCAAAGTCAATGTTTTCGACGGGAGCCAGATGAAAGTTGCAAAGTCGATTACGTGATCCGGGCCGAAGTTCTCTCCAAGATCTGCCAAAAGGAAAAAATGAAATCATTATTTTGTATACTTTATCTAAGACATATTTTAATATTTGAAAGAATAATGGTAGCAGAATACACCCAATGGCGAAGATAATGATGGCGCTGATTGTGGGGAGCTTTTTTTAATAGAATGAACACCAACTTTGCTCGAATTTCACATTCCACGGCTGAGGGAATGCTCGAGGGTAGTTGGGGGTAGCTGAGGGTTGCGCAAGCGTCCTGGCTCGTCTATTGATTGCCGAGAAGGTGGCACACGGTCAGCCATCGATTTGACACTCCGCTAAAGGGATTGACAGTCGTGGGAGCGCCTAAGGGTTGCCAATAAAAAAAAAAGTGAATTCATAAGTGGCGACCAGCGAGGCTGGTCGCTCCGTTTAATTGTTTCACCCTCGTACGTACCGTTGATCATCCGGTCCGATCAGCCATGCAAAATTATGGCCACGAGGATTATAACTACGACGGAGAGGCACCAGCTTCCGAGGGCGGTGGAAGATCTCTTCCTCAAGTACCTGGGGTAAGACCCTTGGTGAATCCTCAGGCGGAGGGTGAAGTTGATCCCAACTTATATCCGGAAGCCAAGGAGGCGACTAACAAAATCCGTGGTAAGAGCGACTTCCTGGAGTATCTCTTCGGCACGGTCGATCAGGAACTTCTCACCGTCAAGACCTTCTACTTCTTCTTCTATTCGGCCTTCGGATCCCTTTTTCCTCTTATGGGAGTGTACTTCAAGCAGATGGGTATGAATGCTGGACAGTGTGGACTCCTTATCGGACTCAGACCCTTCATCGAGTTTCTCAGTGCTCCCTTCTGGGGTTCACTAGCTGACAGGTAAGTCCTTAATATCCATTGGGATGATCTGGTGCACTGAGCAAGCATGAACTCTCACTTCCGCTCTTGCAGATGGCAAAAGGGCAAGCTTATTCTTCTGGCTTCGCTATCCTGCTGGATCATCTTCACCTTGCCTTTGGGATTCATTCAGCCACCTCCGATCAACTGCATGACCTATATGGATAACGGATGCTACTTGAAGGTACCTGATCAAGAACAGAGGATAGAAAAGAGATCCGTGGATCTGGATGAATTCTATCAACCTCAAGAAGATGCGGAGTACCTGGAAGTGGCAGCGAATGTCGTCTTCGAGAGATTAAGGAGGAGCACCGATGACAACGAGATCCTTGAACAGGATATGTCTGCCGCTGAAGAACCCGTGCGTTCCTCTTACGATCTGATAGGTAACGAGGTCAAGGAGTCCGTTGTGGATCCTATTGGAAACGGTGCCAAAAATTCCTACGACCTCGTGTCCAATCGTGTCAGAAGGCAAGCAACTTCAGAGGGTTCTGACGGAAGCTTGAGTTACCAGCAGCTTGTCTTTGGCGAAAAACCCAAAGATACAACTGGTCCTGGAGTTGATTTCGAAGCCATGGGACAGGTCAATCGTCCAGCGGATATTCTGGAGTACAAGCGGTTCCTTAAGGTCAGTTCAAATATTATTCATTCCTCAAAATTGTTTTATTCATTCCATGAGAGTCCTATAGTGTCATTCGCTTTTGTAGAACGAACCTGTAAATGATGGCAGAGGACCAAAAAAAGCTTACACCATTGTAAAAACAAGAGCAAAACCAGCACCTCCAAAGATTATGGTCAAACGTGATGTTGCTAGTAGCGAAAACGACTTCCTGCAGGATCATCGTTATCAAAAGCCATCTGGTATGAATCATCTGAGGAAGCTCATGCTGGTGGAAGAAAATGATGATCTCAGGGATAAGGCTGCGTTGCATACGAGGTCACGTCGAAGTGTGAAGTGCTCGTGTGCTTCGATGAAAAAGAGTCCTTGTCCTGTCACATACGCTTTCAATTACAACGAGAAGGAGAACAGTGGCTGGGTCAAGCCTCGCTTCAGTTCAATTGTTTACAGATTACCTGTAAGATTTACATTTGTCATCATTTTGTCATTTTGCTACTGTCTAAAGTACACTGACTATTCAAACATTTGAATTTCAGGATATCCAAAAAACTTTCTTCCTTCTGCTTCTGCTTGTTATCGTTGGTGAATTCTTTGCGGCTCCTGCTATCACCTTGGCAGACTCCGCTGTCATTACTCTGTTGGGTGAAGATGCTGACAGGTAAGTTCAGCCTTCTTGGATATGAAGAAATGGAAGACACGATACTTATGCCTTCAGATACGGACACCAGCGTATGTTTGGAAGTCTCGGTTGGGGACTGGCCATGTTTTTCGTGGGTATTGCTTTGGATCATAGCACTGCGTTTCCGGATCATCCATGTGGGCCGGATACTAAGGAAAAAAATTATACAATTTGTTTTGCCATCTTTAGCGTCCTCATGGGGGCTGCTCTAATTACAGCTACTCAGATAAATTTCAAATACGACTTTGTAGCTGCAGAACCGGTGAGTCAATTGGAGTTGTTTTCAATTCTTGAAAAATTCTATAAATTTTGGAAAAACAGGAAATCGCGAAGGTACCGACTGAACCCACGAGAGAGGAGCAATTGCAGAGTCAATTGTCGCAGCAGCTGAATCTTCCTGGTCTTCAAGATTCTTCAGCGAACATCGATCCAAAGCCACAGCCACCGGAAGGGAAGGTCTGTAAATTTCTTTCGAAAAATATAAATTTTTGAATAATTTTATTCTACCTAATTACTAAGCTTTTTATTTTCGACGGCAGACTAAGATGTTCGCACAGACCACTAAAGAGATTCCGGAATGGGTGACCGTTTTGAAGCAGTTCAAAAACGTGAAGTGCGCTTCCTTCCTCTTCGTCGCCTGGTTCATGGGTTTCGGAATTGGTCTCATCTTCACCTTTCTCTTTTGGCATCTCCAGGATCACGGCGGTTCGCCAACCCTCTTTGGTGTTGCGTCCGTAATCAATCACATTTCCGAGATCTTCGCGTACTTCTTTAGCTTCAAGCTAATCCGTCAAATCGGTCACGTCAAGGTACCAGATCAACGATAACAATCAAAATAATGAATTAATCAAAAGAGTCCACCTCAAAACCTGACTTCCGGTATGTCTCAGGTCCTTTGCCTTGGTCTCGGTGGCAATATCCTGCGTTTTCTCTATATCTCCTGGCTGGAAAGTCCCTGGTGGGTTCTGCCCTTTGAGTTCATCCAAGGCATCACTCACGCAGCTGTCTGGGCAGCTTGCTGCAGCTACATCGCTCACAATACACCACCCCAACTGAGGTCCAGCGCCCAAGGTGTTCTGCAAGGTCTTCATCATGGACTTGGACGTGGTTGCGGAGCGGTGATTGGAGGAATGTTCGTCGCCAGTTACGGTGAGCTTCAGTTGAATATGTCCCATAGCTACTGACTAACATTTAGGAGATTCATCGCTTGGTCAAGATTATCTCTGCTAGAGATGTGTCATCCAGTCAGAGCCGAAAAACTAAGAATTGTGCAACCAATTAGAACCGCACTAAACTTTCTTTACTGAATATTTATAATAAAAAAAAAAAAAAGAAAAATAATCAAGTGATGTTTTACCAATATTAAATTCATTTAGGAACTGTCGTGACGTTCCAAGCATACGGCCTCATTTGCGCAGTCGTCCTGGCCGCCTTTATCTTCATCAACTTCTATCGTAAGGACACTGGATTCGTATCAGAATTACCACAGACGGAGGATCCTCACCAGATTGCCGAAGCGACGCATCTAGCACCTCACGGAGTCCCCAGTAACGCAATTCCACGTGCATTGAGTTCAAGTCGTCTTCACGAGCTCGCCAATCAGGAGCCTGGTTACGGTGCCACGTATCAGACCACTGGTGGAAACTTGGACATTCCAGGAGGTAACGGAGGTAACCTTACTTCAATTAAATAAAAAATTACTAACTCTTCATATGCATAATCGCTACTTTTACATTACATCCAAATACCCTGGTCTATCCTAGGAGGCACCAACCCTAATAATCCATTCCTAAGCGGTGGCGGCGGCAGTGGAGGTGGTGGCGGTTTCAATTATGGCGTCACTGGGAAAGGGGAGGACGAGTTCATCCGCAGAAGTTTCCAGGTCGAGTATAAATTGTCCAGTATAAGAGAGAACGCTTCAAATGCATGTCGATGAGCTAGCTAGTGTTAGAATTAGCTCGGCCACGAGAGACGTAACATTTCATTCTGCTCGGCAGACTTACAGTGAAGTGGTGGGCACCGAGTTCGACCTGGTGAAACCTCCTCCTGTGGTCACGCACCTGCACGCCCAGCAACCATGCACGAATCCCTTTCATCAGCACGACTACGACTGGTAACGGCGCTCCATCAAGAGGATACTCTAACCTTTAAATTTTGAAAATCACTATTATCCATTCGGGACACTCGGCCTGGGAAGTTCGAAGTTCAGAATGGAGGAGATTAAAAAATGAAAGTAGCGATCGAATGTCAGTCATGATGCGTATAAAGAAAATTTGAAAAAAAAAGTTAAAAGAAAACGTGATAAGGTAAAATACTCAAGTATCCGGTAACGAAATAACGAAGTTAAAGCCATCCGATAATACCAATAGAAAAATAAAGTTTATCTCTCTGACGATAACAGATAAATACAAGAACACAAGCCAATAGTTCAACAGATGTAAGACTTGATATTAAACAAAAAGAAAGTCGCGCTCGATTATACCGACGTTTAGCCGAGCAAGAATGAAGAATTAAAATAATTACTTTCTACGTACAGATAAAGTTCGTAAAGGTAACAATGAGAATTGAAGATGCAGCTTGACGTTCCTCCTTTTTATCGACGAAGACGGGAGAAATGATAGAAAAGATATATCCACGGGCAGCGTAAATCCCGAGTTAAATTCTCTATGACGTACGAAAAGCATAATGCGTCGGCAAGTAAACGAGATAAGCTTAGATCACATTGAACAAGGAAGAACAAAAGGGATGTGAAGGATGGAACTATGTATGTATTTTGAATTTACCGCTTGAATCGTGAATCCGCGCGATAACCAATCAGAGGTGAGAATATTGCGCAAGAATGTTATACATAACAATTAAGTGTCCACGTTCATGAATTCTGTAAATATTCCTTCAAGTTTTCAATCATCCCTCGTTCTTCTCGTTGAGTTCCTAGTTGAATGTTCGTTGTGAATACACCGTTATAACCTCTCTTAAGTAGACTTGAAAACCCGTCAATAGTTTTACCAATCTATGGTTTTACCATGAAGTTCTGTCGTAATACGTGTATTATATCGTTAATGGCGTAAATAGGAAAATGACCGTCCACATTCGATCGCCCTCTCGATCCTTCTGTAACAGCAGTGCTTACCTATTAATCCACGAGACGAATTTCCATGAGTTTCCTGATCATTCTCTTTTCTCATGATCCACCATCCCCACTAACTTCCTTGCTGGAGAGGCGACTGGGAGTCGAAGGTCGACGTGTCAATTTCCTGCGGCACAAGATGAATGCTAGAAAATTACGTGCTATCGAAGTTAACCTAATCTCTAAGGATAATCGCAGATAACTTGTAAACAGTAAACGTAAGGGGATACGATAATGTGAAACTGTGTGTGTACGATTGAATATACGCCACGATGTTAAGGACTATTATCATTATTTTAAGAATCGAAGGATCAACAAGTTTGAGAAAATACTTACCACGCACTGACGATGATCGTCTAAAACCTATTGAAATTCTCATAAATCCTCAAGGGTTCTGCGTTAGGATCCATCAAGCCTTAACCGAACGTTCGTAAAACAATCCCCAATTGACCCAGGATGATTTCACCCCATGGATAGCCTGGATTCTGCTGTCATAATTCCTCAAAACATTCCTGGCGTTATCAATAACGATTTCAAGGAACGATAGTAAGATTTACTAATTTCTTACTTCAAACAAGGAGACCAGGATGGGGTGTGTGGAGGGGATTGAAGACAAGGCGTCGCGACGTTCGCCAAATCTTTACATATCAGATAGGTTAAGATGCCTTAGGTCTTACCAAACTTGAACTAGTGCTGCTCGTACTTCACGCTTGAGACCGGAAGTTGCTTGATCTGGTTCAATCTCATCTGATACAACAAAAACTTATCAGTCACAGTGGGAAGAAACAGGTGTGCGTGAAGTACGTAATTTACTTGTTCGATATATAGGGAGTAGTGGAGTCCTTTAGATTATTAACGAGCGAGAAAAATCCATCGTCATATGTACACTACTCAAATACAATAGATCATATAATATTTACTATATATATATAATACAAAAAAAAATGAAAACGCATCAACTGAACGGGACTCACCCGTTTGGGTACAGTTAAGATTGTCGTTTGGAGAACATCCCGGAACCTTCACAATAAGATGATCCGGTCAGTTGATGATTTCTGGGAGCGGAAGGAGAGCGCAGGAACGGAAGTACAGGAATTCCGATCCATCGAACCGGGAAGGATTTTCGGATGACAGTCTTCAACGTTGCTAGTAAATAACGGTTTATTATTAGTATCGTCGAACAGATTGGTTTTTTCTTTTTCATCCTTTTTAATGGTTCCTGCGCAAACTTTATAACTAGAGGCACTAGTCAAGCTTAATCTTCAGCGAGCCTATGTATTCTCAATACTGTTATGATCCACGAGGATCCAGTGACTTTACATGGATCAACATCCACGAGATAAATCACTGTTCTACGCTTCTTAAAATAAGTGAATTGAAATCGACTATCGCTAGGCGGTTAATAACAATTAACTTTTTCACCACTTTGTTTATTCGTCGGTTTTTAAACATTTTTCTCTCTCTCTCTCTCTCTCGTCAGAACTTTACGTGGGGCAGTATTATTACTCTCTCTAAGTGCGCGGGTAAATATTTCCCCTCGATCGGCCGTCAGGAGCGTAGCCCTTGCTAAAAGACCCAAGCCTTGAAAATTCTCAGCACGGGTTTTTTCTGCTGGTGTATATGTACCATGGGGGATAGATTCCAACTCCTTCACCCTTCACTACCGACAAGGTAGGCAGCAAGTCGACTGCCGATCCTATATGACAAGGGTACATTTGTAAAGGCGCATTTTTACCCCTACAGAGCCGTAGGTGGACACACAGACCACATAGAGAGAGGCTGCTGTACCTTCGTTCCAAAGATAATAAACTGTCTTTCTATAGGTCTTCATTGATCTCTACGACCCACGATATCTAGAATCGACCAAGCGGTGCGTTATGGATGTACACGCGTCCAAGCGATGTACGCTTCTTTTATAGTAATAATGATAACAATAACAAATGGAATACTCGAAGAAAAAGAAATGCCGGAGTAACAATTAATTGTTATAAGCTGTCTTAAAATATTTGGAGGCTGTAAATCGTATTAGCTGCCGTCTTCTTTGAACCTATTAAAATTGGATAACGAAAGATACTATTTGCTCTATTGATTTTTTTTTCTTCATTTCTGATTCTAGCATCTCTTATAATCCGACACGACAATACGGCCATACGTTGTTCACGGGTTACATTTCCAACTGTGATTCGATCAATGAAAAGTTGTAATTTAACAATGTAACGCATAAATCCTTGTAAGGTTTCGTATCTGTCGAATGTTTGGTAAAATTAAACATATTATCTCTTGTGAGATAAGCATCGGTAAGTACAGTATCTGTAACTGGACCACGATGTCAATGTGATTTTATAGGG